TTTGACGTAGGATTTTTTTTTATTCTTACAAAAGATATTTCCATTAGATTGTAGTGTCTTTTAGATATGACGAAAAATAAGAATACAATTGAAGAAGAAGAAGAAGATAATAATGATGAACTTGATCTTTATGATTTTCTTGAAGTTATTTCCGGTAAAATTGATTCGGTAAAAAATCAAAGTATTGAAAATAAATAAAATAATGAATTCATTTTTCTTTGAAAATTTCGTTTTTTTTTTTGTTTTTAGTCGAAGAACGTAAAGAAGATTCTCGACAACAATGGCAACGAACAAAAGATGAAGTTGAAGAACAAAAACGTTTACTTAAAATTGAATTAGAAAAACATATTCATTTATTATCTGAAAATTTAAAAAAACCAAATTTTATTCGAATAAGAGATAAAATTTCATTTACAATTGGAGTTGCTAATACTTGTTTTTCTCCATTAATTGGTATGATATGATTTTTTTTTGATTTTATCAAACACAATCTAAAAGGACTGTTGAAGTATATAGGATAGAAATTTGCACTCCCTGCTCTCATAGACAGACAGACATTACCATGAAAACGTCATAGACTATGATAGACACGTTAGAAACTCCTTATCATTTGGCTTACAGCGAATTCGAACGAAATTATTCGGGAACTAGATCACGAGTTCAGGTCACATGGAGTATTTAAGTAATTCATCAAACATATAGACAGTTATGAAAACATCCTTATGTTCGATCAAGTTTGGGTTTGGATATTTCAGAATATCATTAACTTTTTTTTTTAGAAAGTCTGCTGCTCTTTCAGTTTTTGAATCATTTACTTTCTTGTTAATAGAATTATTATAGCCAACTGTGAAAGCTTTTCTGTTGGTTTACTTCTACTTGCTAGTTTTATTAGTTAATTGAAAATAATTGCCTTCAAGACGAAACCCAAACATTCGAGTTCGGTGCATGCCTATTCATCACAGATTGTGACAAACATGATAGCAACACCCCCCTTCCCGTCTCCTGCGTCACGGATCGGGACCGACGTTGTTGATATATGATCGCAGGCCATATATCAATAACGTTTCGTTATAGTATATTAACTACTTTCTTATTCTATTTCTCAGAGATTAAGTAGAAGGATGACGAAGAAATGTGTCTTGAATAAAAAAAAAATTCCTGTAATTAGCAAGAGTAGCTACATAGTATTTCATAGCTTAATCCCACTGGGATTGCACTAACAGCTTTTTTTTTTTGAAAAATTTAATTTATTTATTTGAATTTTAGCTGTACGATGGCCTCATATATTACCCATTATTTATACAATTCAAGCACTTTATTTTATAACACTTCGATTTCTTATTTATAAACAAAAACATTGGCATTATTTTAGTATGATTGAATTTATATAAATTAATATTTATTATAAAGTTTTATATTTAGCTTTTGATTTATGTTATTTTGTTAATCTTTTAACATTAATCTATTTATGGATTTTACCATCATCAAAAATTCTCTTTGCTGTATGCTATTCATTAACTCATGGTCCATTGGCTCTTGCAATAGTTCTTTGGAAAAATTCTCTTGTTTTTCATAGTTAGTTTTTTATTAATTACATATTGAAAAAAAATGAAAAAAAAGAAATTTTCTTTTTGTCTTTTTAGGTTTTGATAAAGTAACGAGTATATTCATTCATATGTAAATCAATGAATTTATTTTACTAATGTTTTGTTTTTTTTTGTTTTCTATCGATTTATTTTTATTAGGTATCCACCATTAACAATGTTTACTCTTCGTTGGATTTTACCAGTTGATCTTCAACTAAAATATTATCCGGCTATTGTCAATACTGGTTCAAAACTTCCTATGGGTACATCTATGTTTTATACAATTATTTTTTATTTGATGTGGCAAATATTGTATTATACATTTATTGTTTACGGACGTGGACAGAAAGTTGCAAGTGGATTAAGAGTCACATCGTATACATGGTTATTAAATAATAAAAAAGGTTTTGTTTCACGTCTTATTCAAAAATTAGGTTTTGGAGGACCTAATGATGGAATTAATCGATATAAACTTTTCATTTATTTTCTTCTACAATTTTTATTCATGCTTATTTCAATTTTACCGGTTTCATTATTGTATTACCAATACATGTAAGTTGATATTCCTGTGTTTGTGATAACAAAAAAAAGAATAGTTTGTAAATTCAATCCACGTAAAGGCATAAGGGTCAATTTCGACAGAAAAATACCAGAAATTGATGGAATTTGGAGGTATTTTTCAAGTGACTTCCATCCAATTTCGAGTACTTTTCGACAAGAAACGATCAGAAGTCATTCAGAACAATTCACAGGCTTGTGATTCGGAATATTGCTTTTAATTTTCATCAATTTTCGAAGTTTTTCAGTTGAATTCTAGAATTTTTTCGCATCTTTCCGATAAAAATCTCTTGTTTTCGAAGACCGGAATCATTGATTTATCAGTTAATTCTGATGAAATTTTTATTCTAGGTACATCAATGTTATCTTTCTTTGTGCAATGTTTACAGTCAGTATTTATAATGGTGCTTCTTTTTATATTGGTAAGATTATCAATATATATATATATTTATTTATTTATAATTTTATAATATTTAGATGTTTTCTCACGTCAATACATAAAAAGCTTTGAATTATTACATCAACAGAATCAATCTGCTACAAATAACGAAGAAAATGACAATAAAAAAGACTCTTAAATATATTCAATATATCAATTCAGCTAATTATTTCATTTTATCTCCTAGTATACTTAGGGTTATCCAAAAGTAGTGATCCAGGTACTTTTTTTTTCTTATAGAAAACTTGAAAAAATTTTCTTTTTCTATGAATAGATAGAGCATCTTTCGCTCTATTTTCCTATGCCATATGATCACTATTCAACTAATATCATAATAATAAAATTTCGATAAGAATTATTTTTGTTGAAAATTAGCTGGTAGCATTAGATCATAATGGACGTAGCACTTGCATTTCGCTTTATTATCACTTAATACGTTGTAATAGGAAAACAAAATATTCCACAAGATGAAGTGTGAAAACGTTTACAATTTATAAAAGATCGCTTATTTTATAGTTGCACTTTTTGTTTTATAAAATGGCCAAAACTCTGAGCGACTAAATTTCGACGTTGCAAAAACGAGATTATTTTTTGATAAAAGACGAATTAAGTTTTTTCTATCTTATCTTTTTATTACCTACTATGCTTTATTTTAAAAAACAAAATACACTACAAGATGCAGCGTGAAAAGGTCTACAATTTACAACGTACAGTTATAAAAAGATGAGATAGAAAAAACCAAATTCGTCTTTTACTAAAAAACCATCTCGTTTTCGGAAAGTCAAAATTTGGTCGCTCAAAGTTTTTGCCATTTTGAAAACAAAAAGTGCAATTATAAAATAAGCAATCCTTTATAAATTGTAGAGGTTTTCATGCTGCATCTTGTGAGATATTTTATTTTTTTAATGCAACATATTATGTGATGATAAAATGAAATGCAAAAGTGTCCTATTTTTTGTGCCACACCCATTATGATCTAAATACTATCAGCTGGTTTTCAACAAAAACAGTTCTTATCGAAATTTTATTATTATGATATTAGTTGAATAGTGATCATATGGCATAGAAAAATAGAGCGAAAGATGCACTATCTATTCATAAAAAAATAAAATTTTTTCAAGCTTTCTATAAGAAAAAAAAAAGTATCTTGGGCACTACTTTTTGATAACCTTAAGTATCTTAGAGCTTAGTTTTTCTTATCATTTATTTTTATTAGTCAGAATTAAAGTATACTTAATAACGCAATAAAATATTATCTTAGATAACAAGTCACAACAATTGAAAGAATATGAAATTCAATTAAAAACCGAGAACTAAATCGATATTTCATTTATTAAAATATCAATGCATTTTCTTTCATTAGTCTATTTAAAAAAAAAAAGAATCAAGAATAAAAATTTATACGAATTCATTTATCTTTATATTTGTGCCATGTTAAAGTTATCAATTCAAGTTGAATAGAAGACACTTATTATTCACAAGAAGACAAAAATAAACAAATGAATAAATAAAGAATAACTCTATTAAAAGTTCGCATATAACTCATCGTCAACTAAAACGAATATTTTCAAACTGTTTGTCTTATTTTATCTATTACTATCTCAGTGTCACAGTCATGTGCATGCATTCATATGACTTGCAGGGTTTGACTCGTTTGTTCTATAATTATCTTAATCACATGTTTGAAAAGTGTTTTTTTTATTCCTGTTATTACATACTTGATGTAGAGTAGACAAGAGATAACAAATGGGGACAAAAACATGACTTAGATTCTCTTTGTTTTCACATTTATTATTTATTCGATCGAATGAGAAGCTTTAATTTTCTGAATCAAGTTAATTTGAATATTAGTTTTTCTTTTATATTTTACAATCAAATTTTCATATAATAAATCTTGTCAATTCTTAAACAGATTCAAATTCTAGGGCAGTATATAATTATTTAATGGATATTTCATTGTGTTGACTTTTGATAGGTTTCTGCCTAAACATCGTTTAAAAAATAACAATTTTATCATACTGTAATCTGAATAATTATCTCTTCTTTCGATTAGATTTTATATACCTTCACTCTCATTTACTTCATTTCTTGTATCTAGACCGATACTGTCAACTGATATTCTTAACAGTAAGAATAGTATGACCAACGAGCCATGTAGATATATATATATATATAAACTTCGAGCATAGAATATTTTCAACTTTTACTTAGATAAAGAGGAACATATTCATACATTTTCATATCAGTTCGGTCTCATGCCTACATACAAACAAACATTGAAAAGTCTTTAATATGTTTTACAGTAATTTTTACAAATCTTGCTATTTGTTATAATGCATAGTGACTTATAAAGGTTTGTTATAACATCTTTTTTTTTCTTAGTGTGTATAATTATGAAATACGTTCATACTTGACAAATGAACCGATCTTTCTCAAGTTCATTGACAACGGGTTCAATTATATCAGACGGCGATATTCCGAAAGATACAGTTGACTCGGTTCGTCTTACCAAACGTATACATCGTATGTCTGCACCAACAATCGATTGGGATGCAGAAAAGACATTAAGTTCAGTAGTTGATATCGATATTGATGCTTTAGATGCTGAATTTGAACGATTGTCAGTTGATTTTAAAAGTAAAATGATTGAATTACGTAAGAATCCGAATAATATGACTTTACGTCATACACTTACGTCGACTAAAGAAGCATTGATACGTATTAAAACTTGGTCATCATTAGTAAATACAGCTGATGGCTTAGCTATTATGAAGAAAAGTATGGCTAAGCAACATGAAAAAGAACTTCTGCAACGAAAATATGAAGTTGACGAAATACTTAAAATTTCTAAAGTACAATCGGCTATTGATTTATGTTTTCTTATGGATTGTACAGGCAGTATGAGAGAATATCTTCATGCAACTAAAACTCAAATTTGTCAACTTACAGAATGCATTAGACAATTATATTCTATCAAACCTAATCTTGCTTTTGTTGGATATCGAGATATTAACGAAAATTTGGACAAACTCGATTTTACTGATGATGAAAATATATTTCAAGAATTTTTAACTAAAGTTCAAGCTATGGGTGGTGATGATACATGTGAAGATGTATTTAGTAAGTTGTCATAAAAAAATGTCTACGAAGACTTAATCGAAAGAGTTATTAAAAAAGAGGTTATAGTTCTTGAATGTTGTATTCTAGTTATTGACTGTTCTTAAACATATGTTTTTTTGTTTCTACAAACTTAGATTTCTGTCTTTGGTATTGAAGAAAGAAAAACGTTTCAAAAGTATTTCAATCGTGTTAAGAGCAAACAAGATAGTGAAACATAAACTGATGATCCTCGAATCTGATTTTCACATGACATAGAGATTGAATATGTCATTTTTTTATTAAAAGTAATTTAAGGATACTCGCTCCATCTTTTTTGGTTACTTCTATTTCTTGACAAGGATGCAACTAATCAAGCTGAAGTTTTTACCAAAGATAAAGTATCTAAAATAAGTAGACATGTGTTCGAGGAAACAAAAATTGAAAGAAGGTCTGATGGGGGAAACTCTATTTTTTCAGTAAACCGCATCTTGGTATATCATGACAGTCATCAAATTTTATCTGATTGGGCTGAAAATGTTTTTGAAGATACTTAAGACTATGTTTCATAGATGATTTTGAGCTTTATTGGAAATCTCAGTTTCTTTATGAGGAAAAATACGTAAAGATTCAGAGCTAAAATTAGAGATTTGATTTTTAGAATCCTATAAATTCGAATATGAAGGTCAAAAATGAAAGCGACTGATTCTACCTTTGAAGAATATTTCCAAGTATCTGTAGTAGAAATATCAGGTCGATCGAACAAAGTTAGAGAGGAGGAGATGATGATATACTAGGATACGGTCCTACAGAAAATCAGAGTTTCTCCGTTAAACTTTCTTTGAAATTTTTTTCTTTAAACACGTGTCCGCTTAGTTAAGGTGTTGTATTCATGATAAAAACTTCAGTCTGATCGATTGTATCCCCTTCAAGAGCTAGCATTAGTCAAAAAAAATTGGAAAGGTACTCTTAACGATAACGAAATAGATAGATTCATGATCAAAGTCAGGAAAAGTGTATTATTCGAGATCTAACAAAGGAATCTCTCAAGGTATCAAATCACTTTTCAACCCAGAGGATGTTCATTTGATGAATGTTAGAGAGTAATAGAAAAGCCTAGAATGATTTGGAAAAGCTATGGTTCTCCTCAAATCACATGAAAAATTAACTTTCGAGTTTCGATTTCAAGCTTTGCACGAACAAAGTTCATAATGAAATTGTCTGATTGTGCAAATTTTAGCTTTTCTATTATTTCCTATCTAGAAATGTAAAGATATAAACAAAATTTGCTTTAACGCATAAGAAAATTTCAAATATTTCATATCTTAGGATAGGAGATATCAGAAAAGTTATAACTTGTCCAACAAACTAATCTCATTGAGAACTTTGTTCATACAAAGTTTGAAGTCGAAATTCGAAAATTTTTTCTATTACTCATCAGTACTCATCAAATGAACACCGTCTCGATAGAAAGGTGATTTGACATCTTGAGAAATTTCCTCGTAAGTTGAAAATAAGCATAACAACTGAATTAATTGTGAACTTTTGTCTTTACAAGACTTGCCTACTAATGAGTTAAAGTATTCATTCTTTCTTTTGTATAACTAGGTGGATTAGAAACTGTTGCTCAACTTTCATGGTCAACTCCAAATCGTTTATTAGTTCATATTTGTGATGCACCTTGTCATGGACAAGATTATCATGAATTTCAAGGAACAGCAAATGATAACTATCTTAAAGGTGATCCAAAGAATCGAGAATTATCAACATTAATGTTTAGTATTAAACGATTAGGTATAACATATTGCAAAATTCCATTAAATGAAACTACAAAAAAAATGTTTGAAGAATTTGCTTTTGTATTTGGATCAATATCTGAAATTTATGTTAGCGATCCAACATGTTTAATTAAACGTATTATTGAAAAAACAAGTTCTATTATTCAAAGTTGTATTGAATCAACAATATCATCTTATCGTAATTCAAATAAACAAATTAAATCTTATACACTTTTTAGTAAAGAACCCGATTGGAATTCATTAGAAATATATGATGTTAATGTAACTGAAATTATTCCACCTAATACAATCGATGATATTTTTCATCCTTTATTGATTAGTAAAACTAAGGGTAAAATAAAAATTGCACCAAATCCTTTTGCTAAAGGATCAATTCGTTTTGCTTTCTATGGTCAATATAGTAGTGATGATTCTCCTTTCGTAGATGTTGTTTTTAAAGAATTTGCTAGTACAGATCCAAAAGCAAACACATTTATTGTCTATCAAGAACATCTTGAAATACAAGCTATTGCTCAATTCTTAGCCGAACAATTTAATGCTGAACAACAACGTCTTTTTCGAAATTTCATTCCAATTATATATGCCGATGCTGATCTTATTCAACAAACAACAAATCCATTGAAAATCTATCAAGTTGAACGACGTATGCATCAAGAATGGCGTAAATGGAATAATAATAGTGGTGGAGTATCTTTAAGTGAATATTCAACAATCTTACAAGCGTTTTCTCATTGGACATATCATATTACTTCGGGTCGTCTTATGGTTGTCGATTTACAAGGTGTTAAAGTAGATCGTGCTTATTTATTAACGGATCCAGCATTACATTGCAATGATTTATTACGTTTTCGAGAAACACGAACTAATCTTGGTGTAAAAGGTATGCGTCAATTTTTTCGTACACATGTATGTAGTGATATATGTTCTAAGTTAAATATACCTATGTTGAATACTGAATCGAATTCAATTTTATTGAGTCGTTCTGATTCACTTTTATGTAATGCAACTACAAAAACAACTGATATTTTAAATGTACAGACAACGGAAGAAAATAATTTTGAACCAATCGATAAAAATCAATTAGAAACAATAGAGAATTTTGAATTATGCTAAAGTTATGGTTTGAACATTTCTTTGTATATATGTTATATTTTTATTTTACAAAATATATTATATGATATTATTATTTATAATTTACAGGGTGTGTTAAAATGTTTTTCCAGGAAGGTAACGTTGCTATTTTACATAGCATCAATAACAAATTCTATATCAAATTAAAGTGTATCAAAAAATGGAATTTATCAGTATTGAATAGTAAGAGTTATGGCAACTTTTCAAGATCGAATTCATGATATTTCTAGAATTTGACATTGTATTGGCAAAGAATAGCGTTTTACATGATGCAGTTCAAACTAGATCTGATTTTCAATGATGAAATATCACCAGGTAATCGACAACTGGTCTGGAAATATTAGAACAATAAACGACAAATGAAGTTAAAAGTAATATTATCAGAGACGAAATATAAACGTTATCACGAAGAAACTTTGAAAAAACACATTTCGGACATTTTGAAAACATGGAAACAAACATTGAGCTGTCTGAAACTCTTTTATGTTGGTATGCGTTTCATCTTCGTGCTGTAAAAAACATTAATGATTCTCATACTGATTATTGATTATATTCATCAAACCTTAAAAAATACAAGTCATATTATTATATTCATCGTTTAAAATCCGATCTAATTTGAACTGCGTCATGCAAGAAAGTTTTCTTTACCAATACGGTGTCAAATTCTAGAAATTTCATGAATTCGATGTTGAAAAGTTGTCATAACTCTTACTATTTGATACTGATAAATCCCATTTTTGACACACTTTAATTTGGTACAAAATTTATTATTGATGCTATCTAACACAACAGCATTACCCCTCTCCCTCCAGAAAATTTTTTTTACACACCCTGTACTATTACATTGAAATAAATTCTATGCTTTCAAGGTATCTATTTTACGTTGTGTATTATATCTTGTTTAACTTCATTCATTTTTATTTTTTAAATTTTCAGAATAAAAAGCATGCCTACCAGAGTTGTCAATAGACTACTTTTTTTGGTCTCACTAAAATTGGACTGTTGGATTCTATGGAATATCGACAAAAGGAATTTCACCATCTGAATTTCGACAATGTACAAATTCTAGTAGAATTTTGAAACATGTCGAAATTCTAGTAGAATTTGGACAACGTTGTCGAATTTCTACAATTGTCGAAATTCTTATGGAATTAGGACAGAATTTCTTTTTGCTGAGAATTTTCTTGTCCATTTTCCATTAGAATTTTGACAACGTGCATGATTTAAATTTTTTTTTATTGTCGACTTTTCGCTGACAATATAACAACATATTTATCAATTACATCTGTATACTAATGTCGACTGTCACGTCTGATCCTTCTTCCATTGGTCAATTATTTAGGCCAATCAGAATTCAGGCTAAAGGTCATAAGGCTATCCTACGAAAGTACCCATGGATCCTCAATGGCTATTATATGGGGTACCCATAAGTCCTCAAAGCCTATACTATGAGAGTACGGATAAGTCCTTAGGGCCTATCCTATGAAATGTGAACTCATAAGTGATCAAAGCCCATGCTATGGACACACTCATAAACCCTCAAGAGCTTGGAATGGGTCAGCAGGTAAGTCACCGTGAAATATAGCTGTCACATATGCACTAATGGAAACGTCTATATGATGGCTCTTGATGACTTACGCGTATTCTCATAGGATTAGCCATGAGGACTTAGAGTACTCCTAGGATAGCCTTTGAGAAGAAGAAGAAGAAGAATACCCCGCCTTTCGGCTACGTTTCAGTATAGGGTGATGTTCGAGGGCATTTTCATTAGCCCGATATTTTTCCTACAACTATTTCTAGCTGTAGCTCTTTTGGGTAGAAGGCTGACGTGACTCAGAGTTCCTCTGCTCATTTAAGCTATCCATACACACTGACTAACCATATACTAGCTATAAAAGCTGGTGTATGTCATAATGTACTCAGTGTGCTATCGTACGTGTAATCCGAGACAAATAGCCGTTAGTGACTTATCTAGGGTCATTCTATGTTTAGTGACACCGAGGTTCGAACGCAATACCTTGGTATTTTGTGTCGAACAACTTCATCACTCAGCCATGGCGACTAGCCTTTGAGAACTTATAGATACTCCAATAACATATGGCTTAAAGGTTTATGGATACCTCGGTAATATAGACTTCGAAGAGCTGTGTATATCCCTATAAGATAGACCTTGCGGACGACTGTGCACTGTCAACTGCTGTCATTGGTCCACTAATGTATCCCTAGCTATAAGAAGATACGATCGGAAGGCTAGAAGGGTATAAGGGTCCAAGGGGGTAAAGCTATAAGGGTGTAATGCTACAAGAGGGTAAGATTATAAGGTCTTGATATATAATGCAAGGTATCTGATTGTCTGTACTGGATCAAAATTAAAGCATGGATATGAAGCTTTGAAGAGAAAAAAAACAGTCATGCAGTATGCACGGGTTTTCACTAGCATTAAATAACGAGAAGAATGATGATTTAGTTCATGCGCTAACAAAGATATTCGAGGATATTAAAAGATGATTTAGTGTGATAATGAAAAGAAACACAAAATCTTCTTCAGACATTACCAAAAAGAATATTAAAGATATCGAATAATGATGTAATTTTGATTAAAATACAAAATTTAAAAAAATAAAAAGATGTCTACTTGAAAAAAAATAGTTCTAGCACAACACACACATCACTTAATGTTGTATCAATCAAAGCCTTACTAGTTATATATACTTTCATATGTATTTTTTAAATAAATTATTGTTCAAATTCTAATGGAAAATGGACAATCAAATATCCAGCAAAAACAAAATTTTGTCGTAATTCCATAAGAATTTCGACAATTGTAGAAATTCGACAACGTTGTCCAAATTCAGATGGCGAAATTCTTTTTGTCGGAATTCCATTTTATCGATTTAGAAGTTATCAATATGGTCTAACAGAGTTTGACATTTGCTCAAAGACTTTTGCATCGCTTGTTACTATCTAATTCAAAAATAAATATACAATTCTGAGAGAGTAAAAATTTCAATGGGCAAAAACTTACTAATAAAAATTACAATGGTCAATTACCCATTTGCTCCCCTCCTTGGCTACACTGCTGGTTATATCATTCGAAAATCGTCAAATATGAATCAAAAAGATGGAAATTCGGCCTCAAAAGCAGTAGTTAGAGTAAAAGTGCTTTACTAGACGCCAAAATTCAAGTTCAAATAGTTAGTTTCATTAGAAAGAGTGCATCAAGTGACATATTCAGTAAAAAGAATCTGGCTGACACATCTATATAAACTATAACTTCATATGGCTGAAAAATCATTATCTGTAACAATATGATTCAATTGAGGCAGTGTTAAGCATTTGTCAATAGAAGAAGATTAAAAATATCTCAGAACTTCTTATAGATTCTGCTAAAGAAAAACCTTCTCCGCCGAATGAACTTATTTTTATTGAAACTAAATTCGATATTGATCGACTTTTAGGCCCAAAACTGCTTTTTAGGGCTCTCACAAAGTACTACAGATGTTTTTTATTATCCGATTAATTCAAATTTTGAATCAACACGCTTAACTCTATCGAACTATAAGTGCTTCTACTAAAATGAGGACAAAAAAAATTCCGATCCCTGAGGGAGACTCCAAGCATGAAAAAATGAGTTGTGATAAAGTATCAAATAAATTTGTGAAAAAAATCAGAGATGAATGCTGGTTCTCAGGATAATGAAATTAGGTTCAAATTTTTGGGACGCTAGATCCGTAATTTTATTTTCCTGTAATATTCATTTTAACTTTTGTATTTTTAGAAATAGTTTACTATGTCATTGGCGTACACGTACATCATCTTTTTACCTATCTTATAATTCTCTTTTATAATTGGTTTGTCCATGAAATATCATATCATCAATGTATTTTAGATCTGTCCAATTCTTCTACATAATTCAAATGAACAAATAATACGAATATGATTGCCACTGGGTTTAATAAATGATATCAAGATTGATTTAATATTTTTTATACAGTTTTCTGACTATGAAAAATGGTAATTTGATCATTCATTAAGAGGTATTTGACTGTTGTTGAACAGATATAACCACTTATATGATATTATCATTGAAAGACAATGATAGAATAATTCGAATACTTTATGTAACAATATATTTGGATACATGAAAACGCTATGGACAAAAATAAGAGTCTTTTTCATCAAGTAAATAATATATATTGTCATCGAAACAGTATAATGATCAAAGAAAAAATACAGCTACTATTTAAGATTTATCATAATTTATAAAAATTATCATATAAAAAAGAATCATTAATAATATTATGTCTACTAGCTTAATATCTGAAAAAATATCATTATTTTTTTATTTTATTTCAATAGACACTCCTTTGTAATGGATAAATATTTTAGATTATTGAGTTTTCATTGAAAAAAAAAATAAATCTTTCAATTTTCCATATTATCGAACAATGTCTGTATTTCTAACTAAATTACCATTTTATGCAAAATTATCAAATTTATCTAATAAAAACAATATAACATCAGTTCCATCTAAGTATCTATCTCGATTATTATTATTAACTATTTCTACACAATCAAATATAAATCATCATCAATATAAAACATTTTCAACAATTAATTATGAAGTCAATAATCGATTAGCTTATATTACTTTAAATCGACCAGAAGTTTTAAATTCAATTAATGATTTAATGCCTAAAGAACTATCTGAATGTGTAGAAAAAGCAAACAATGATCCATCTGTACATGTCATTATATTATCAGGTGCTGGTAAAGCATTTTGTTCAGGATATGATTTAACTTATTATGCACAAACTAAAACTAACAACGCCGTACAAGAGATGCCATGGGATCCAATAAAAGATTATAAATTTATGAAAAAAAATACAGAATATTTTATGTCTTTATTTTATTCACTTAAGCCTACACTTTGTAAAATACATGGTGATGCATTAGCTGGTGGTAGTGACATTGCTTTATGTTGTGATATTATTCTAATGGCTAATGAAGCACGTATTGGTTATATGCCAGCTAGAGTATGGGGTTGTCCAACAACAGCTATGTGGATTTATAGGTAGATAATAATACTAATAAATTAATTTTTTTTTAATGTCTTATTAAAACTTATATTTTAGACTCGGTATAGAAAAAGCTAAAAGAATGTTATTAACTGGTGATAAAATTACTGGAATTGAAGCTGAAAAACTTGGACTTGTATTAAAATCTGTTTCACAAGAAGAATTAAATACTGAAGTTGAAAAATTAGCTCAACGAATGGCTACAATACCAATAAATCAACTTGTTATGCAAAAATTAATGATTAATCAAGCATTAGATAATATGGGTTTAAGGACAACGCAAATGTTTGCTACAATATTCGATGGTATTGCACGTCATTCTCCAGAAGGACTTGCATTTAAGCGTCGAGCAGAGAATTTAGGATGGAAAGTGGCTGTAAAAGAACGAGATCTTGGTACATATGATTGGACAGCTGATGCATCGATTGAAATAAAAAATGAACATAATGATAATAAATCGTAATTGTTCAATAGAACAGATTTTTTTCCAATAATACATTCAAAACTATTAAAATAGAAAATAAATTCTTCTATTTGATTATGTAAATACATTATTTATGCTGTTAAATAAATAGAAGTAGACTTAAAATAAGTATTCATCAATTTTTTGTAAAAATCTATATACAATTGATTATGAAAATTTAGTTGAAAATAAATTCTTTCGAGATAATCTTCTGAGTTTATTACTGATTGATTGTATTATTTGATTGTCGTTAAGATAGAATTAATCTATAACTTCTGTTAATTCTATTCATATATAAAGGTTCGATTATGTACTTCATCGCTGAAAGGAGCATTGCCGAAAAGAAAGATCGGCAAAATGAACATCATCAATATGAAAATCATTGAAATGAAGAGCACTAATAGTCACATTTGTCGAAATGCAAATAATCGAATTGTGACGATCTGACTTTCGATGAAAAGTATGCTAATCATACAAATGAGTTCTTCAATACAATATCGAGATAATTATTATATTTACTAAAGTTAAATTTCTTTTATTGGTCAATAATTATGAATAAGATAAGTCCATCATTAAAACAAAAAGGAAAAGAATATTTTTATTGGAAATTTATATTAGAAAAAGAACAATGCCTAGATTATAAATAAAAAAAATCTTTTTTTATCTAATTTTAAACAAAAAAATTTTTAACACATTATGAAAATCATTATCACAAAAAAATTGTAGTGTGTATCAACGTGCAAATACTGTTTATTTTAGTAATAAAGTGTAAATAAAAATCAATATATAATTTCGTATTAGTTCATACTCTATGTATGTTAAAATAAAAATAAAAAAATCTCAAATCAAATTAAATTTCATATATATTATAAACGACGACAATTAAAAATAAGAAGTGTTAAGATAAGAAAAACCATAGACCAAATAAATGTAACTATAAAACCTTGTTGTACAATTAAATGTTTAATAGACCATCCTAGACATAAAAGTGAAATAATTAATAAATAAATCAATATCATCTTACCTTTTAAAAGTATACCACGCATAGCATCAATAGCTTTTGTCATTGGTAACCATTTTGCTATTCTTCGCATCCACATTGGTTGTCCTTCAATTGGCCACACAATACCTAAAATAAATAATCATTTATTTATTTTTCTTTCTTTAGGATCTCATTATTAATTATTACCGCTTAGAAGTAATACAGGATAGAAAGTAGACATTGTAACTTGATGAGCATTGATTTCTGTTGTAAAAATTGTTGAAATAACTAACCCTTTAAAAAATGTACGTTCAATTAACAAATAGTTAATTTAACTTATAGCACAAAAATCTTGGTACAAAATATTTGCTCATTTTTCGCTCACTAAAAGATAATTGGTTAGAACCACAATTTGAATTTTTCATTACTTCTAAATATATATTCAGATTTTCCTTTTGGGATAAGATTCAACAAACATCAGTTAAATTTTGTGAAAAACTCCAAAACTGTGTCTATACAAAGAAAAATAATGGTTTTAGCACAGTTCTTGGTTTACATAGTTTCTGCAATTCATTGAAAGCATTAAATTTCATACAAAATGAGATATTACAATAAGTGAAATCTTATCTATGTATTTTCATTAAAGAGTTCGTTTCTATGGAAATCAACATTGACAAAAAAATCACTGTTTTTGAAAAACTGCTTTGGAAAATTTCAAAATTTTCAAAATCTGCCATGCTAGATAAATAGTACGCTTTATAGAGCAAATTTTGTTCTACAAAATTGAACCATTCAAAACTATTTCACATATTGACATTGATCGGTTACAATAGAAATACAAAATTGACAAAAATAATATTCCGTACAATCACTATTTTGAACCTTTTAATGATAATTATTCAATCTTACATCAGAAGAAAATTCTAAACATATATTCGAAAACGATGAAAAATTCTGATTCTAACCAGCTTTCTTTAAGTAGTCGAAAAATGAGTGAATATCTTGTGTCAAGACTTTCACGTCATAGATTATGTTGTTTATATTACCGAATGTCATTCCACAAAATCCTTGTATCATACAGAGTAATGATGAATACAATAAACTACCTCTTAATGGAATCTAACAGAAAAAGTATTTTTTATTATAAAAAAAATAAAAGCAAAGAAAACTAATTCTAACCGTGAAAATATATAACGAAGTAAATAAAACAATTACTATCTGAATAATAAGTATCAGTAAATGTATTATCAATTGACTAAGAATGATTTCATTGGATTTCACACCTTAATAAGGAAAAACAAAGCTATATAATTAGTTAAAGAATATATAAATATACACCTGTTATCGATACACGTTCTTGTGTTCCGTCACTTTGTTCAGTGACAAGTGAAAGAGCAGTAAGAGCAACATTAAAGAAAAAAATAACACTAATAAAATTAACTAATTTATATATCAAAATATGAAAAAAATTAAAAATCTTACGATAAAACAATACCAGGTATCATAAAATGTGTAAAAGTATGTTCAATATCTGGTAGATCATTTTGAAAATGTCCTAACTAATATATTTATAATTATTTGTATATATATTTTTTTTTTGAAGAAAACTAATATTATACTTTAAATAATGATTGATTTGATGAAATTGATGTAAAAAATCCAAGATGAAATTCTACATCAATACTCTTAAAAACTCGAATAAATTCTTCAGCAATTGAATAAACCATTTGTCGATCTAATAATTAATCTTAAAAATATTATTCTATAACAAAAAAAAAATATTTTCTACTTGTTTGATCTAAATAGATTACCAATTGAGAATCATTATATTTATTTACATCGGAATATGAACTAAATATAATATATAAATATGTATTTCTATTGACAAAAATAATATTATTCTTACCAAGAATTTATTTTTTCAAACAATTCTCGAGTAAAATTTCCACCAATATCAATAATTCCTAATAAATGTCCCAAATGAAATAAATGTTGAGGTTCATCTATCGATTTATATTCAATCTGTATAGAAATAAGAAAAAGAAAGAATAGAAAATTGAAAAAATTATTTTTTCTAATTGATTTAATTTACTAGATTAAGAACATTTTTATCAATATTATTAAATATTAATCCACTCATAGAACTCGATCGAATAGTTTCACGTGAAATAAATCCAATTGGAACATTAGTTAATTTTCTTCCAACACATAAACAAAATAAAGTAATTTGCAGAATTGGTACAAGAAATTGAATGATAAGCATACTAAAATTTTAAATAATAATGATTAATTAGAATATTATTTTCTATTTATAAATACAATGGATTTCGTTGAAATTTAATAATATCTTTGATAAGAAGAGCATAAAGTGATCGACCAATAGATGGACGTGCACAAGAACGAAGTGTACGACAACATGAATTTTTCACTAATAGATAAAACAATATTTAAATAAATAAAAAAAAAAGAAATTTACAATACTTACTACAACATGAACTTATGATTGACTGACAAGAATGACGAATCTTAGAAATAATAATGTTTTATAGTTTCAAATAATTTTAATTTAAACTACTTTATTTGCAATTGTTGTTAAAGATTTATGATGATGAATATTTTCTTGTCCATGACGTTGCATTTCTAACATACGACGTCGTTCACATAGCTCAAGGAAGACACCTTCGAGAGTCTAGAACAAACTTTCTTCGTATCAAATATAATAGAAATTGATTAAACAACTTGTTGTTCATGTTTCAACAATAACTCATTAGGATGACCTGTTTCTAAAAGTTGACCATGCCGCATAAAAGATACCTAATATACATATAATAGATCACAATAGGTCTAATATTTATGTTTACTAGGTTAGCCTGTCGAGCTTCTTCGATATAGTGTGTTGTTAAAATAGCAGTTACATCAGTTTTCATCGTGATCTCAGTAAGATGTTGCCAAATTCTACATCGAATATGTATGTTTAATTTGAACATTAGTATGTCTTACTTTTTTCTTAAAAGTGGATCAACACCAACAGTTGGTTCATCTAAATATTAGAATATTCTATTGTTTATTGAATATATTTGAAAGAAACCCATACGAAATAATACCTAAAATAAGTAATCTTGGTTCATGTAAAAGAGCAATTGCAAATGAAACTCGTCTCTGTTGTCCACCACTTAATTTAAAAATTGATTTTCGTTTATGTGGTAATTCAAGAAGATTAATTAAAAATTGACATCGTTGTTGAATCTTTTGAGTAGACATATCTGCTAAACGACCATAGAAAAAAAGTTCCTCATCAATCGTATTTGTTGAATGTAATGCCATTTCTTGAGGCATAAATCCAACAAGTTGACCAAATGCATGAGGATGTTTACCAAGAATTAATATTTTTCCTTGTGTTTTATCATGATTAACAATAGGATGTAAACGTCCAACTAACGTACGTATTAAAGTTGTTTTTCCACAACCACTCGGACCAAGTAAAGCAAAACTATATCAATTTAAAAGTAAGCATTCGAGAACAAAAAGAACATAAAATATCTTACATTCCACCTTGTTCAATAGAAAGATTAATCGATTTTAAAATATCTTTATTACTTAAACGAATGGTAACATCGATTAATTCAATAGCACAAGGATTTGAAAGCTGGTGATGATCGCTAATAGTACATTCCATGCTATATGTTAAATAAAAAAATGATTAACTATGAAGGAGTGAAGAAGTAGCACGGACAATACATTACTATAGCGATAAGTAACAATATAATAGGTAAATATCTTAAAGATACAGAGAACAAAAAGAAAAGCAAAAGAAAACTATTTGCATCATTCTTCCCTTGGTTTTTTTTTTGTTTTTTATATGAAACTATTGAAGAAAAATGAGTCTTGTTGACGTCTATGAAAATGATATTTTTAATTTATTTCGTTTATTTTTTAAATGCTAATGCGCATATCTCTCGCATCTGTGTTTTTTTTTATTATATTAATAAGTCTAATATACAATTAATAGATATATATGTATAGTTTGACAAAAAAAAAGCATTCACTACAGATCTTCATCACTAAAGTTTTCGCCTATAACATCATCACACTAAAATAAATATCATAAATATTTTCTTTTCTGTTTTATTAAGATAAAATTAACTTACCATTGGATCAAGATCTCCCATTGCTCCTGTATCAAATCGACCACCATCGAAACTTGAATCATCATTCATTTCACGTTCAAGTCGTTCAAAATGTGTTGTTCTATTATATAAGAAACAAATAGAAAGATTAATATTAAAAAATTAAACAAAGGCTAGCATTTATTTGAGCAATAAAAATATTGGAATCAGCAATAATTAACATACGTTTTAGCAATAATTTGTGAGCAATACAAAAAACTTTATTGAACAATTTCATATTATTAAATGAACAATAATTAATTCATTAAATAGCAGTAATAATTTCATATTTTAGGAATAAATAAAAGAAAAACTGCATTATTTTTAGTTACAATCGAAAATAAAAAAAAAGAAATCAAAAATATAGTATATTATTGGATCAATAAAGCCTTTTTTGCCTGTGTGGTTTGCCTCTGTTTCTTACGTATTTCTATAAATAAATGTGTTAAATCCATAATATGATCTTGTGTATATGATGTCTATTTTCGAAAAATAAGATCCTCCTTGTTATCACACACATGTAGACCTGTATCTGAGATGACAGAATATACCAGGAAAAGATGCGATACGAATAGAATATATCTGAATGATCACTTGAAAGAAAGAAATGAACAATCGAAGAGAAAGCAATATGGAAATGTATCTGACAGTAGAGAGCTGCGCCAGGTTTTCTGAACTCGACTAGAGGATTTTGGTCCATTCTATTTTTTGGAATACTGAATTGTTTTTCGAATACACATCTGTGAAGCAATGTTTCCACTTTCATACAATGTGATTATAACTGTACAAAAGACATTCAGAGCTTAAGGATTTTAAATAAAAAGATTGGAGTTCATACTTGAACTCTATCAGACCCGAATGTATGGACTCGGACGTTTTTTGTTTAAAAACCTTCGGCTTTGAATGGTTGTTGTACAGTTCTAATTGCATAGTCTGAAAGAGTAAATATTAATTTACAAAATTTGTATTCGAATAACCATTCAATATTCGAGATGATAGAATGATTTCTTTGGTAGGATTCAGAAAAACCAGTAGAGTTAACCTGACAAAAGAGAAAGAGCATGAATGGTGTAGATACATATGTAGAGAAAGAAAGAGACCGAAAATATAATGTATAGTAAAACACAAATCTGTCTTATAGCACATCTTTGGAATGTAGCATAACAAAATGAATCCATAGTGCCCCTTTTTATATAAAATTTACCTTTAAGTTAAGTAAATTATTGCTGATTCAGTAAATTTATTGCTCATTTCAATTATTTTATTGCTGAATTAAATATAAGTCTTAAACAAATATAAATACATACGGATAATTGCGAACTTGTTGAAGCATTTCTTCATTACTGCCTGATTTCATTAAATTTTCAATAAGTAATTGACGAATGCGTGGATCATTATTCATTTGTACGTGTTCTTTCAATCTAGAATAATATTGATATTATATCATATTAATAAAAAAAAATTCGATTACGTTATGGAACCACTCATTAACGACACACGAATAAAAATCGTTGTTTAAAACATTCAATATTGATGGTGTCCCTCTCTACGCTTTCCATGGTTTCTGGAGAACGGCTCATCAAAAAAATTTAAAATTTTCAGAGCAGATAAATCTGGACGAGTAGAGCAAAAGTTGTCATAAACACAAAGTTTCCCAATGTTGTCTTTTATGAGATATTGGGATCATAATGACAAAAAAGTGACTCGAATTTTCGTCTCCGTTTCTTCGAGATGCTGTGTTCGATGGAATTGAAAACCTTTTTTTTACAGGTACTAGATACTACCTGAGGTTGATATCTTTTCATTTTTTTTTTTCAATAAAAAAGCTAAAATATCTTAAGTACCCTAAACATCCATGTATTTTTTTTGTAAGAGCTACCAAATATCGGCAGAACAATATTTTCTTTTGAAACAAAAAAAATGTATCCGTCGCAAACAGTGTATAGTATATGTTGGAAAAGTTCTGGCACAATCAGACGTGCTAGATCGAAGAAACGGGAGCGTTTCTACACTCAAATCCGGCTCTGTTAAGTGGTGGAGACAATTTTCTCTTCAATTTAAAACTTTTCTGAACTTCCTAACATATAAACCAGCTAAGAATTCTCGAACGCACAATTAAAAATAAATTAAAAAACTCGTTTTGAGAAAAACACCAAAGAAAATTTGCAATTGAAAAGCAATGTTTTTTTTTTAGTTCAACGGTAAGAGAAGCACATCGATCGTTGTCTATCATGTGATATCGACTATAGTGAACAAAGCGAAAATTTGCATGTACTTGTACAGTGTGTAAAAATCTGAATCTAGAAGAGATATATACATTAGGTGTGAGTAAAGATATTTATATCATCCATCCGTAATCACTTCTACCCATCAACACCCACACCAACAATACCAGCTACTCAAATAGATAAAAGATGAGAAGAAGATAAGAATGGTTATATACATGAAAGAATGAAGCCGAAGAAAGAGGTAAGCACGCATACTTATGTCAGAAGGCGTCTCTTCTGACATAATACTGTTAAAATAATTGCGTAACTAAACAAACACTAGTAGAAAAAGAAATTCAAGACATGACTCTATTTGTTTGAAGACTTGCTATTTCACGTATTTCTGCTAGACTCTTCACTATGGAAAACCTTAGAAAAAGTTCAAAAGACAACAATAACTAATATTTTCAGAACGATTTATTTTTTCTGATTTCAGCATCATCAGTAAATTCTGTATAAAATGCTGAAAAAGCATCAGAATTCCAATGAATAATACTGTTTTCGAAATTATATAACGAGAGCTATCCAACCACATAAAAATCTCAAAATTGACTTTGTTGGCGAAAATCGGGATTTTTTTCCAGGGAGGGATGGCTTAATAAAAATATTGCTGCATTTCCTGAAGAAAATGGAAAGGCGAAAAGAACTTTTAGTTAATACGCAACAGGATTTCACTGAATATATTCCTATTTTAAAAAGATTTCTTCCGATCTGATCCGTGCAAATGTGTACTGTGTCAATGAGGTCCTAGAAGCAAGGGAACGGTTTCTCCATATAGGGAATCCAAAGAATTTTTTCTCAGATTAAGCTGCAAAAGAGCATTGAAGTGATTCCACGATATGTTTTCAATACAGAAACGTATTTTCCAATAGACTGTGGTTTTCTATTAGCTATTTCTCAAGATTTTTCTAATTTGAAACTGATATGTCGCTATGGCGACGAAAACAAAATATTGTTCATACTTTACTTAGATATTATTATGACACGTAAATACCAAAAAAAAATCAATAAATTACAGAATTTGTTTAAAAGAAAAGATTTTCAGACGAGATCTTCTAATGTATTGAGGGCTTTAATGAAAATTCTTTTTTTTTTGTGCTTAGGACATAAGAGAAAAAAGGCACTAAGATTTAGTGTAATTTATTCTCTAACATGCATTTAGCAGATTATCAAGATTTAACTTACAATTCTATACTTTTTTGTTGTTGTTTTAATTGTCCATAAACTTCAACAAGAGCAATAACTGCATCAGTATATTTTGCATTCAATACAAGTGCTTTTTCTAAATAAACTCGAGCTTTATCTAATGATGATGGTTCTTTTGCAAGAACTTGTCCACATAATGTAAATGCTCGAACATTTTCTTTTAAATTTGTTCGTACAGCATTTGTAATAAACATATCTAAATAAAAATATTATCTTAAATCTTTTGTTCTATATTTTGCTATATCAACATACTAGCATCACTTAATCTATTCGTTGATAAATAACCATCAACAACACCTTTATATCCTTCGAAACAATATGGTGTTAAACGCACAGCTTCTTTATAATGAACAAGTGAATCTGAATATCGTTTTAATTTAAATAATGCAAGACCTTTAAGTAATAATGCTTGAATTCTTGTATTATCTAATGCATAAGCTTTTTGTGCAAGATAAACTGTACGTGATGGTTTATGATTTTTTTTTAAACAATAATATCCAATAGCAATCCATGTTTCAGGATGATGATCACCAAGTGACATTAAATGATTAACTAATCTAAATAGAAAAAACAAAAATTTTTCTTTTTAATTTTAATTGAAATATTTTTTTTTTTACTTTTCTAATGAATTATCTTTACATTCTGTATATGTAAGAAATGCAAGTATATCCATATGTTTTAATAATAATGGATCAATTTGTTGTGCTCGTTGTAAACTATGTAATGCTTGTCCATACTCACCATTTAAATATTGATTGTAACCAAGTTGACATAGAACATATGTTGATTGTGGTAAATATTGTGCATCAATTTGTTGATAAAGTCTTGATGCTTCAGCAAAATCTCGACTAGTTGAACAAGCATCAGCTTGTAATAATGCACGAAACCATGGTTGACGTACTAATGGTGATATTGTTACAGGTGTTGGTTGTTGAGCTTGATTTTCATGATGTATTGATGCAGCTGATGGATGTGTATGCAAAAGATCACTTAATTTAATACCAAGAGCAAGTAAAGCAATGTAAGCAGATAATGTATTAGGATTTTGTTTTAAACATTCACGATAAGCACTGATAGATTCTTGTACTGAACCACCAGCTTTTTGATAACATTGACCAAGTGCTAAATGAATTTTAGCTGTACGTTGTTGAAATAGAATTGATTCAAGCTAAATGATTAGATTTTTTTTTTCAAACTAAATTAATATTTAAATCTTGACTTACAACAGTAAGAGCTTCTTTTAATCGATTTAATTTAAGTAAACATATATGTTGACGATATTTACATTCTATAATCCAATCAGGTTCCAACTAAATATATATTTGTTCGAAATTCTTAAATGCTTAAAGATAATTATATATTTACCGCATTTTTATCATATTTATCCAGTTGTTTATAACTATGTAATACTTTCTTAAAATAAGATTCAGCCAAATGATATTCATGTAAAAACCAAGTTGAATCAGCCAAACAACGATAAACAGTTAAACGTTGTTCATTATTTAGATAATCTTTTCCACATTCATCAAGTGTTAAGATGAATTCTGCCTAGAAAATTAATCATAATATTGATTAAAATTAATAATCTAGTTACATATATGTATATATTACCAATGTTTTACAATCATCATATAATTCAGCATTTCGAAGTGTTTCAAGTTGTTCAATTGAACTCATAGTATTCTTTCTGAAAATGATGTTTTTTCTTTCTTATCATAATTTTTATAAATATGCTTTATTCAAATTTTAATCGTTCATTTTTGTCTAAATTTTATATCGATAATTTTTAACAACAAGGAAAACAAGAAAACAATAACAATTAGATATCACTGTACGCAATTTTAACTTAATAATACAACAAATAAACTAGAAAAAAAATCAACATAAATGAGATGATTTAAAGTAATATAAATGATGAAAAATATTTCATAACTGTTTGAAGATAAATATATAATAAATAGAAATATTTTACGCTTATTTGCATACATTTCTCCCAAATAACAAAAAACCAATGATGAAATAGATTAGGTGAAAATGTATTTGTAAATAAATAACCAAATACAAGACCAAATACAAATATTATTAAAGTAAAGAAGACTTTTGATGATGATTGTTGAATAGGAAAATCTTCTTTTTTATTTAAAAATTCGGAATTTCTTATTTGACATTGATTTATTTGTGGAGATAATGTTTCTTGTATTATTGATGATGAAGTATTTGTTAATAAAGATGGCACTATTTGTGACGGTGAAGATTGATTAGAAAAATTTTTATTTGAAGAAATAAATATATCTGATGATGTTAAATTGTATTGTTCAATTGCTAAATTATTTTGAATAGTTGATGTAGTAAAATGAAACCGAGACCATAACTGTGTTTGTTGTTGATCAAATAAAGATGAAGTATTTGATTTTGAAAATGGATTTGAACTATATGTAACATTTGATGACGGTGTTTGTATTGAATATTTATTATAATTATCTGTTTTATGACTTGACCAAAAATCATTTTTACATTTACTTTCATTTAAACTACAACTTTCAAACCAATCAGTCAATATATTAATACCGTTAGTTGAAGAATTTTCAAATTGATTATTTGATAAATCTTGTTTTGACAATAGAATTGAATTTGTTAATGTTGTTGTCATATCAGTAAATGAATTAATAGTATGTTGAATTGTTGATGGACGTTTTTCTTTAGATGGTGTTTCTGGAATAATCAATGGTTTTTCAATAGTTTTAGTTCTTAATCTTGTCATTGGTGGTTCAATTTGATTAATAGATAATTTATTTAATGTTGAAATTGTACATTCTTCAATTGGATATCGAACTTGTGGACTAAGATCAAATTTTGAATCACAATCAAACCAAAAACTTTCTTGAGAATTTTCATTATCAGATAAAATATTCCAATTAGATTTTAATGTCATCTTTAATCATAATCTAAAAAAAACAACCAAAGACAGTTGACAATAAAGAACAAAGGACAAAAGAAAAAAAACCAACACGAAAGAGCATATATCATCATCTGTCGTATTTAACAACAAGAAACAAAAAAAAAACATTTTTTCTTTAGTATTATGTTCTTTGTTGTGTATTTCGCTTATTTTCCATTCTTTGATATATATGCATTAATTGTCGTTTAGCTTCACAATCAGGTAATGATGATAATTCATAATATTGTGGTGCTATTGTTAATAACCATTCTGCTTTAATATCTGTTACAGTACGTATATAATTTTTAGTTGTTAATACAAATTCATTATATAAAACCCATTCTGGTTTATGATCAAGTACAGTTGAAGGATGTAATTGAACAATTTGATTATCTTTTATTGTTAAATAATGTCCAGTTTTTTCTAAATGTGCTGCTTGCATAAAAAATCCACTAATTAATGCTTTACGTATATTTATATAATAATCTGGTGATGTAAATTCTGTTGATGAACGTTTAAGATTAAATCTAAATACATAAAATTTATAAATGTAATATGAATTAAATTTTGAAAGGCGACTATAAAATTTTGACTACAGAATAAAATATATGTAGGCTTGTAGAAATTGACTACCTCTATCTAATAGTGTATGTATTATCAGGTTCTACTGCATACCGTTAACACAGCAATAGGTGGGGCACTACCTATTGATGTGCTACTGGCATGCAGTAGGATTTGAGGGGGCAGAAGACGAAATCCATCGTAAGTCGATTTTCCTACAAAAGACGACTTGGCATCAGATCGTCTCTTTCTCGAAATCTGTCCCAATTCTATTCAACTCATAATAACACTGTCTGCTTATTTTTATTTCGCTTACTGTCAGAGAAAGGTAAATGGTGTTTCAAAGCCCGATTTTTGTCCAAAGTTACTAAGAAGCTGTGAAAAATCAGTAGAAAGTCTGACATTTTGAGAGGAGAAGCTCTCCATCTCTTCTAATCGAGAACCTTGAAATCTATATATACATGCTGTTCTATTGTCAAAAATTATCCAAAAACTTATAGTCGTCTTTCTTTTTGTTTTTTATTTACCGATCCATAATACGTCCAAGTTGTGTTCGAACATTATCAGCTGATTTTAATGAACGATAATTAACAAAATTTTCATAACACCAATGATTATCTTCATGATTTTGTTTAAATGCATGATAAACATTTAACATTGTTAAATGATCACCATCAATATGAGCAAAACGTGCTTTAGCTTCATCAGCTTGTTTACGTACATCATTTGGTCGTACAAAACATTGTGGTACAGAAAGCATAGCTGTTAATGATAAAATTTCATTTGAACATGAATAATCACATGATGCTATAACCATTTTAGCTAATTGTGGATCAAGTGGAAATTCAGCCATCATTGAACCTAATTCTGTAAGATCACCTTCATCATCAATAGCAGCTAAATAATTTAATAATTCTAATGCACGCATTAATGTTTCAGGTGCTGGAGGATCCATAAAATCAAAATGAACAAGATCATCAATACCTAATTTTTTTAATTGTAATACAACACTGCCTAAATTTGATCGAAGTATTTCTGGATATGTATTTTCATGCATTTCACTTTTATATGCTTTTTCTAAACATGAAAAATTAAGATTAATAAAAAAAAACACATTATAGTCCTTTGATTTCCAATTCAGATTGAAATTGTAATATTTTTTGCTCTTTTGTATTTCTTTTTTATGGAATAATAAATATTTATTATGTGGTATACCTATGGTCATATAGAGGTCAATACCCTCTAAAATGAACCCTACTTTAAAAGCCGACAGATATTAACAAATAGAAGTAAAAACTCATTTGATGCATACATGACACTTGTCTTTTCTTGGTTTTTTTTAATATCACTGTTATTTATCTCGTATATTTTTCTTGTTTAAATATGCACTTATATACATAGTAGTTATTGTTGGGCTAAAGCGATTTAATTAATTGTTCTTATTCGGGTAGTTATAAAAGACATGGTCATTGATTTATAAACGGAATGTTCGCAAGTGATGGTGCGAAACATGACAGCTATCAGTTGAGATAGCCAGAAAAAGAAGCATATTTACTCATACATTCTATGACAGCTTATTAATGATGATTCATTTGTCAACGGAACGTGTACATCATGTTAAGAATGCAAAGAATTACTGAGACGTCGACAAAAACAAACATGAAAATGAAGATGTTGATATCAATATAGAAGCAGACAATAACAGTGAATAACTTTCATTAAACATAAATATCAGAAACAGCATTTCTGAACTTAGTTATTAGAATACTTGATAAACATTAAAGACACTACTTTCTTATATAAGTCCATTATCATCTATGTGAAATGAGGATGATCGAAAAGCTTTAGACAAGATGTTTGTTCAGTTTTGACCCTCTCGAAAGTATCTCCGATGACTTAGAACCAAATTTTTGCTTTCTTTTAGAATTTAAACTTAGAAATTTTGTTTTAGTTTTTGTTCGAAAGCAGTGAAATAGTCTTTGAAGAGCTCAAAAAATTAGTTTGGACGGAAAATTTTTGTATTTCAACTATTGCTATTCGAAACTAAAAGTTGAAATCTTTATTTATATATCAGTTTATAAATCAGAACCCATTCTACAAATTGTACTCGAAAATAAATGCTTGTATCCTCATTTGAGTAAAAGCTATAGATTAGTTCAATGTTACATTTTGTAGAGAAGTAACCGCTCTACAAAACGACCGACTCCGACAATTTTTAACATGTCCAAAAAGGAACTAATAAGGTAAACAAAAACCTGCTGGTTCATTATTAAAAATAATTTTTCAGATCTCTCAAAAAATGTCTCACTACCGTCGAACAATAACTGAGACGAAGTTTCGAAGCCCATATTTGAAAAGAGCACTAAATTCTGGTTCTAACTGATCGAAAATATTTTCTAACAGATCACAAGTGAACAAACATGTTGTCTAAAAACTTTCTAATCACCCATTATATAAATCCGAAAAGTCTATGCCACTTTTTTGTATACATATTTTCTTTCAACTTTTGCATAAATTCAGTTCAATGATATATTAGTACGTCTATAGTATCTTCTAGCAAACATCTAAGTATTGTAGTAAAATAATAAAAAATCACTTTTCAAAAAAAAAAACAAGGATTACACAAATTACTCCTTAACGTGAATTTGAGACCAAAGGACTTATAGTTTTTTTTTTTTCTTACCAGTATAAAGACGAAAACATTTGCCGGGACGTGTACGTCCAGCTCGACCAGCTCTTTGTTGTGCACTAGCTTTTGATATTGGTGTAACAAGAAGTGATTCAACACGTATACGTGGATTATAAACTTTTTGTTTTGAAAAACCGGGATCAATAACAAAAACAACACCATCAATAGTTAATGATGTTTCAGCTATATTTGTTGAAACAACAACTTTACGTCCAATAGCACCATTTGGTTTATTTGGTGGTGCTGGTTCAAATATACGTTGTTGTAAATTAGGTGGTAATGTTGAATAAAGTGGAATACATTTTAATTCACCGGCTTCAGGTCCTAAACTTTCAACTTCACGTTGAAGACGTTTACATGCATCTTCAATTTCTTCTTGTCCAGTCAAGAAAAGAAGAAGATCACCTTAGAAAACAACAAAAAAAAGAGTTTTTTTTTTTTCAATTAATTTTAAACGTAAATATAAAGACTTACCTTCTTGTTCTTCACTCATATGAATTTGTATCGTAGTACGAATAGCTGCTTCTAAATAATCACGTTCTGGTTCAGGTGTATAAAAAATTTCAACAGGAAATGTTCGACCAGGTATAGTTAATAATGGTGCTTTATCAAAATAATCTTGAAATTTACCAGCATCAAGTGTAGCGGACATAACTAAGAAAGAAAAATTTCATATGCGAACCAAAAAAAAAAACAAAACAAAACTTGTTTTCAAATTTATTAACTTACCAATAATTTTTAAGTCTGATCGTTGTTTAGCTACTTCTTTTAAAAGACCCATTAAAATATCTGTTGCTAATGTACGTTCATGTGCTTCATCCAACAAGACACATGCATAAGATTCAAGTAATGGATCAGACATAGCTTCACGTAATAACATACCATCAGTCATATATTTTAAAATTGTTTTTGGTGATGAACAATCTTCAAATCGAATTGAATAGCCAACTTCTTGTCCAAGTAAAACATCTATTTCATTTGCAACACGTTGTGCAACAGACATAGCAGCAACACGACGTGGTTGTGTACATGCAACACCACGACGTTTTTGTCCACTTTGAGTAGGTAAAGCAAGTGCAAAATCGACACACCATTGTGGAATTTGTGTTGTTTTACCTGAACCAGTTTCACCAACAAGTACAGTAACTTGATTTTTTTCAAGTGTTGCCATAAATGCTTCTTTATATTCCCAAACAGGTAATTGTCGTCGTTTTTTAAGTAATTCAAAATATTGATGTGAATAATTTTGTAATGTAAAACGATTAATTGTTGAATTTGTTTGAGACATATTATTATAATCTTTTGATTTATTACTATTATTAAAATAATTAGTTTCAACTGAATCGTCAAAACGACGTTTTCTTGGTTTATTATTTGATGAACTTGAAGGTGATGAAGCAGTAGGTGAAGAACCAATATCAACACGTTGTTTACGAGAGTTCATTCAAATAATTTTATTTATATCGAATAATAGAAACAATGTCCATCAATAAATAAAATAATATACAATGAAAAAGTTTTTCTTTTCCAAATTTGTTTACTAAACAAATTTTGCAATAATACAGATGTGGATTTAATTCACCAATCATATTTATGAATAGAAGATGTCATCCTAAGTTTAGTATGATAGCTCCATAACGACCGAGAATAAAACGAGTAGACCGTTAAAAGCGTTCTTTCTTTTTGTAGATAATGTTGAAGGTATAAATTCATTTGAAACCGTTGATTTTATCTATTCATTATTTAGATTCGTTGATTATTAAAAAAAGAAGATTAGATTATCATTAGAAAAAAAGAAAACACTTCGCTCTATTGATTTTGTTTTAGATTATATTTATCTCTTTTAGATATGTTTACTATAAGAAAAACGAACTTATAATTCTTAGTCTTGATTATCTTTCTGAATGATATTGAAATACAAAACAGTTTACCATTTAAGTCTTTATTTTATCCTTATTTATACATACACTTTGTTGTAAATAGAGACGTGTAAGATCAAGTTATTTTTGGTTCACTAACTTGTTTTTCATCGATCTCAATCATAGTTTTGACAAATCTGATCGAGTCCCAGTTCCGGTCTCGGTAATTTCAATTTGTCGAATTCTGATCTAGAGAAAACTATTTCAGAATTTATTCGTATCATATCTAAAAACTCTTCAATATTTGTTTTTTTTTTGAATTGTTCAGTCGACGGCTAGCACTTTTTGGGTCATATCTTTTGAAGTATGTTCTGAGTGACATGATTTATAAGATAATTCTCTTAAAGCCATAGAATATTTAATTATAATCTTTAGTTCGGATTGAGATTTTTTTTCTCGTGGCTTCGATCCCAGTCTTGGCATCTTTTTTTTCTCGTGGTTTCGGTTCCAACAAATTGATAATAGGACTTATATATTCTCATTTTTTTGATGATTTGTTCTTTTTTTTTCTGTAAATGAAAATATTATAGAACGAATAACATTGAAAAAATCTATTTGATCTTAGATTATGTCAGATAATACTCGTTTGAAAATCTTAAATACTATTGAACAAATGTGTATGTTATGTGTTGAACAAATGTATCGATTACCATCATCATTACCATCATTGACAATTAATGAACAAAAATATCAATGGAATAATAAAATTGATGATAGAAATCGTCGAGATTTTACACGATATATATATGTTTTATCAACAATTCATCGTCTTGTTCGTACACAAAGTCGAATGAATATGAGAGAATTATTTTATTCTCAAGTAAATCTTTTTCATCATCAACGTATAAGTGATAATATTGTTGAACAAATTGCACGACATTTATGTGTTGATCGACGTCAATTAGGATTTGTTGCTACAGCAAAAGGATTTTGTGCTGGTTTGTAATTTTATTTAGGATAATAGAAAAAAAAAATATATATTATTGTTTATCATAATTATTTAGGTAATGTACAATATCGAAATTTACGTAGTGGAGAAATTATTGATTGTAATCAATTATCTAATGGTCAATTAATAGTCGATGATGATATTGAAATTATTGAAACAGAAAATCGTATTACATTTATACTTATTGTTGAAAAAGATACGATTTTTCAGGTAATGATTTTTATAAAAATAAATAAAAAAATTACGAAATCTTATCAATAATTTTTAGCATTTACTTAATGATGGTTTTTTAACTCGATATTGTGGTGCATGTTTAATAACAGGTCGTGGTCAACCAGATCATGCAACACGTTCATTTCTTTTACAATTATCTCATCTATATAATGATACTCCTATTTATATATTAACTGATTGTGATATATTTGGTGTATTAATTGCATATACTTATCAATCAACATTTGATGAAAATCATCATAATCGTCTTCGATGGCTAGGTGTATGGCCTGAAGAATTATTATCATTATTCTCATTGAATATTTCTCAAACATTACCAATAACGGATGAACGTGAACGACGAATGATTACTAGATTTATTCAACGATCAGATATTAAAGTTGAATGGCGTCGTCAAGTATCATTTTTTGAACAACATCAACGTAAAATGGAAATTGAAGCTATTTATGAAAATGGTACAAAAAAATTAATTGATGATTATTTACACGATAAACTTATGGGACATAGATGGTTGTAATTAATCATAGTTTGTTTTTTTTTTTTTTATATTTTTTTCTCTCAACATTTTCTTCTATCTATTAACTCTGTTCTTGGTTAACGTACTTAGGTCAGACGAATCATTATTATCACAGATGAAATTCGTTTATTTTCTTTTTTTAATTGATTTTGTTTCTTTTTTTTTTCTTATGCTTACTGGTGAATTACATTGTATTCCTAGTTTGGCTTAATAAAAACTTAGTCACTATTACTATTAATACTTTTGTATAGCTTTTTTGAAAAATTCTATTAATAGGAATGTAACAATATCAGCATCAATTGATATTGGTAGTTTGCCACGAAAAATTAAACTCGATAAAATTGAGAAATCAGTTATGGATTCGAATCCTTCGATCTCGAGTAAATTTCCTTTAGAATAAAAAGTCAGAGTCTTCTATTGCGAGTTAGTTTTGTCAAACACGATCTAAAAGGAGTGTTGAAGTATATAGGGTAAAAATTTGGACCTTCTGCATAGACCGTGACAGACATTTCATTTAATTAACTAATTTATAGTTCATTAATATTTCATTAGTAACTCATTAATGACCTTTTTATGAATAATTTCTACATAATTAATGAAAGGAGTGTCGAAGAATATCGCGAAAAAAGTGAACTATCTTCCACTCCTGCTCATAGACCGTGATAGACACCCTAGGTCACGCCACTAACCATGCAAGGCGTTGTTGAATAAGTAAAAGCATCGTTTAGAAATGTGCCACAAAATAGATAGATTAAAACAATCTTCCTGTGAATATCAAGAACACCTAAATAGTCTTTCATATTTTAATCGTGCACGGATTGCACTAATAGCTTTTTTGTCAATATTTACTCAAAATATCAAGTGCTTTTGAAAAATTTTTCTGATATTTAAATAGGCATTATTACTAACTAAATACTAGAAAACGAGAATTTTTTACTAGACAAAAAAGAATTTTGATTACACAAAAACCAAAAATGATCGTTTGTTCAACTATCAGGTTTTTAGGCGCTAAAATCTACAAAAATTCGTTGAGTTTTTTGAAAAAAGATTTTGGAAAATCCACGGTCTTCTATGCTGGGAGAAGATTTATCTTTGATTAAACTTTCAAAAGACAAATTGTCACTTGCTCAACATAACCTTGTCCTAACGAAAAAAAAGTCAAATTCCGATGTTTTTTTCAAAGTTTGATCAGAAGTTCTCAAGGTCGAAAAATCCGAATCTATAAGTGATTTCTTAAAATAATCAAGTTTGATTTTTTTTTTGACGAACTAACAATATTGTATTGATATTATTATATTTGTACATACAAAAATATTGCTAATTTAGAGAAGACATTGTTAATTGAATACAAATAGTCCCATGTTGAATTAGATTGCAATCTTCTTTAGTTGTATATATAAATATATATATGAAAGTAACTTTAAAAAGAAAAGACTAGTATGATTTGTAATCTACCTATCTTGGTAATATGTTTTAAGAAAAGTCCTGAATCAAAATAACAATTTTCAACCGGGTGCATATTTGAACAACAATGATCCAATCGAGAAAATTTATTGATTTTGTTTATAAAGAACTTCAACTGTATATATAGAATTTGAAAAATTCTTTTAAACAAGAAATAATCAACTTTACCATAGTCTTAATGATGAAAGAATCAACAACATAGTTAATCATAAATTTTTCAAATATTATCTATAATTATTGAACTAGATTTTGAAATGTATAATTAATTAAACCACTAAATTAGATAAACAAATTCAATAGAAACAAAAGCAGAAACATTTGTTAAATATTTATAACTGGAATTAAACAATTGTCAACAAACTCAACAGACATTTTTGATGAGTAATCATTGAAATGATTTATCTATCCATCTATCATAATAATGTTTACGATCGTTTGTTATCTTCCATATCATATTCAAAATATGTTTTATCAATCTCAACGAAAAAAGAAGATCATTCAATTTGAAAAAAAATCTGAGAAGTATCCATTACAAATGACTTCACATCTGTTTGGTGATAATCTTGTTACCAAGAAAATTCCTATTTCTTGGTAGTTAGACTTTTCCTCTGGTATCATTCTATTATTCATTAAAAAGATCGTTTTTTTCTGTTAATTAAATTAGACTTTTTTTAGTAATGAAATTTGTTACCATATAATCCTTCTTTTTTATTATTGAATAAATGTTTATAGATAAAAAAAAATTCTCACATAGAAATACAAAAGGACGAAAGAAGAAACGATTAAAAAGTACATCCTTTTGATAAGTATTAAAAAAAAGATATCAATATTTAATGATGATGATGTGTTAATACCTAAAAGATAAAATACAAGAAATCAATGATTAGTGACATCTACTATAAACATATAAAAGCAAACAAATAATCTATTACAAATAATTTTAAAAAAAAAGAAAATAGTTTTATTTGAATGATATATTTTTAAAAACAATTTCTTAAAATTTCTCTCATATTTCAATTAGTAGTTTATTTTTCGCTAGAATCGATTTAAATGAAAAAAACAATATCGATTGTAGTGACGTCCGAAATGTGTGACATTTGATGTTTTTCTTCTTTATTATTTATTAGTGTTCTATGTGAGTTCACATTTTTAATTATGTCATATTGTTCTAATTATTTTTAGTATTTCTTTTTACCTTATGTCGTTTTTGAAAGTAATTTTCCAGTTGAGTTACTCGTCGCTAAATAGAAAAATAAAAATTTAATTTATTTTAATAATATTTTTAATTTTCATTTTTTATACACACTCGTAATCCACCGCCACCATAGATACATGGAGAAAAATTCGGAAAAGCTGAACAAAGTGAACCTTTAAAATTTTGACAACTAATATCAGTTTTTGGACGTTTAGAACATTCATCATAACGAATTTTCAATGCATTTAATAGATTACGACATTTAAGTTCGGCTTGATGAGTAACACAATAATCTCCACGTCTTTTAAGTTCATTTGGATCGGATGGAATCTATTAAAATATGGAAATAGGCGAAGAAAATGAAAATATAAAATAAGTATACTTGACTCCAATCGGAATCACTCTACAAATAAGAAAAACAATTAAGAGAAAAACAACTATTTTGAAAACGAACCCCACCACCACCACCACCACCACCGTTAAATCCATAACAGTAAAGTTCGCTAGGCCATATAAAGCAATATTTATTTTTGACATCATCACAAGCTGATACTGGTGTTACCATACCTCTGCATTTACGAAGTAAATCTTCCATTTGTGATTTAACTCCTGTACATTCATCGACATAAGGAGTTTTAGCACATCTTTCGCGCATAACAACCAAACTATCTGTATCCTAGAGAAGAACATAATTGTTATACATAGTTAAGAAATATTTTAAAATTTATGCGTTAAAATTTACTCGTGTATGAAATGTACGACCATTTGTGTGATTAATAAATAGGAAAAAAATGAATAGTATAACTGTCGTTAACATTATATCGTCAATATCGCCTGACACTTGTACGTTTTTCAAGTGTATAAATAGGGTACTGATTATACATTTGTTGACAAACTTTTTTTATTTTTTCTCTCTCCCATTCATATTCCGTTTACGTCTCTTTTCGTTCAGACGAAACGTAATGGTGCATGGGAGGACGTTATTTTAATAGAGTAGGTGGTATAACGTTATCGGTATCTTTGCAATTCGTTTTTCTTTTTTTTTCTCTCATTTTGTCAATAATAAAGTCTTATACGCACTTGAGAAAATTAGTGGCAATATGCGAAAGAGAAAAACAGAAAATTTTGATTGATTGTTTATTTATCTATTTATTTTTCTATATTTAGATATGAGTTAAGATATATTTCATATTTAATTAAAATATTATATCACCAACAATAACAAAAAAAAAAAATAAAAGAAAAACGGAATAATCATGTTTTGGGAGTGTCATGTAGTTACATCATCAATTGATAAATTACTTGATCAACCATCAGATAGTATTAATTTACAAGATTTTCTTGATGAAAATGATTTAATACAAGAATGTCTTACACAAAATAATCGTCTTCTTGATTATCTTGTACAAGGACATATTATGAATGAATTAATTGGTTATATTATAAAAAATCCAATAGATAATAATTTTCATAATGCACAAATTGTTAGTGAATTATTATCTGGTGATTTTCAACGTATACAAGACAAATTACTTGAAAAAGAACATTTAGATTTATTATATTCATTTTTATTTTCAAATGAAATAAATAAATTATCAACAGTTAATCCAATACTTGCTTCATATTTTTCACGTATAATTATGACTTTAGTTATACGAAAACCTAATGAATTAATTAATTATTTTAAAACTCGTGAAACATTTAAAGATGATTTTTTCCGTCATCTTGATTCAACATCAATTACAGATGTTTTATATCGTTTAATTGCTGATTGTGGTGATCAACGTTCTGAAGCTATTAAATGGTATGAAGATATTAATTTAATTGATGGTCTTATTCAACAATTATTAATAACTGAATCAACCTATACTCAAACGAATATTGTTAATTTACTTGGTGAATTTATACGTTTAGCTTTTGATCAACATAATGGAATTGATAATGATTTTCAACGAAATATAGATACAACATTATCATCATCAACAATGGAATGTCTTCCTCATAATGCCAATGAAAATGATGAAGGTTTGAATTTAATCTAAAAAAAATTATAATATAAAAAAAAAAGAAAATCGAGTTATAGAAGAATAATTAATGTTAGATATTAAAAAATAGATAATCATGAAAAGAATGATCTGCATAAATGATTTATCAATGTAATTATAAAAGAAACTTCTATTAAGATAAATAAATCTGGATTTTTTAGTAGCCTTAGAAATGCTTCTTAGCTTAAGAGAACCGTTCCCTTCTTCCAGCACATTTGGAGAATAGCCGATTAGGAAATTTCGAAACTTTCACAATAGATAGATTTCAATTAGAATTGGACGAATCGAATCAAGTTATTTTTGCCCATTTTTTTTGTTTTGATAGAGAACGTTAACAACAAGTTTTTTTTTTATGACCAGAAATGTTTCATAAAGCTTCACAAGATAGCAATTTGTGAAAAACATACATTAAAATATTGCTAATGTAACACGAACACACATGATTTTTCTAGAAAATTTATTAAGAGATCGATATAAATTTCTTCTCAAACTGATTTTGATATTGAACTATCAACTTTTGCTTTTTTTGAATAAATGATTTTTTCAGAGAGATATGAAAATGGTAAGAGAAACAAAATGACATTCTTGCTTCTTCTCGGTCTGTATTTCTCTGTAATGGTATGTTCATTTAAGCTGAAGCTTTTAGTAGAAACTATTTGCAATGCTTCTTTTTTGTTTTTCGTTTTTGTTGTCTATCTCCTTATCTTCATAAAGGGTGATTGAGTAGTTTTTTTGTAAAAAAATAAAAATAAAAACAAGGTCTCAAGTGAAGCTCGATAGAACGATAAGAAAAAGAATGTCAGCTGTTTTCATTCAAAAAATATTTTCCTATTTCAATTTCTTCAAAACTTAAAACTATATTAAAACTCTCAAAACGTATCAAATCGATAAAAGACACTTGGAAACATAAGGAAAAAAAAATGTACAAAAGTAAAAACTAAAAACTTTTATATTAAGAAAGGAAGATAACTCCTATTAATCAGTATATAATCGAAACGAACGATACTAAAAATTCATATGAATTTTATTATTATTATTTAAGTCAAAAAAAGAAAAATACCGTCTAATAAAAATATATTTATTTATAATTCTAGACTTATCACCGTTTAATCGAGTTTCATCGGATAATGATACTGAAGATACATCAACGGATAATCAAACTGATGATAAATTCACACCATTAATTCTTGCTCAACATATTTTATCAAAAACAAATTTAGAAAAATTATTTGATACACTTAACAAACAACCAATACTTGTTGCAAATGGATGTGATTTTCTTATAACTGTTTTTGATTTACTCAGTCGATATATATCTCTACCACAATGCATTCCATTAACATCATTTATAGAAGGAAAATCAATATTAATAAACGAAATTTCTCCATCCGATAAAGAAGAAACTGAACAAATGCAGGTAAAATAATTTGTTTTCATAAACAAAACTAAAAATCTGTTTGTGTGTATATGTGTATTGAAGATAAACGACGAAGGAGATACATTACAAGTGATAAAATCTCGTGAGAGATCGTCAGATGAAACAAATGCAGATGCATTAAAAAATCTTTTAGCTAATGTTAAAGATCCTCGTATTCAAATTTATTCAATTTTACTTGAAGTAATTCCTTCTCGATTACCATCTTTAATTGCTTTACTTTCAAATCCATCGGCACCATTAATACCATCATCACCATCACAAGATAATTCACAAACAGTAAAATATCAATTTATTAGTGAACCTCTTGGTTAGTAATTATCATTTTGTGTTTTTATTTTTTGTCTCTTTTTCTGTGCATTCAATATTTCGATTTTTCTTTTCATTTCTAGGAGCAATACGTCTTAATTTGATCAAATTCTTTTCAAAATTAATCCATACAATTTCAAATGATTATACCGGTGATTATATCTATCAGATATTAAATTCCAATCGTTTATTTTATATATTAATTGATCTATTTTATCATCATATTTACAATAATTTTCTTCATACACAAGTATATCTAATTCTTCGCTTAATTTTTCATATTAATTCATTGGCTGTTAAACAACCAAATGATATATGGACACGTCTACCACTTAATGATCAACTAAAATCATCAGAATCAGGTACAAAGATAAGATACTACACTAATGCAAAATTCGAGTGAATCTTTTTCTCTTTTATTATTATATGGTTTGATAGTACTTGACAAGATGATTATGAATATATAGTTTTTATTGAGATTTAATCATTATTCAGCTGAAAGAAAACCATAAAAAATTCGAATGACTGAGAAATTTAGTGTTGAGAATTATGTACTCGCTGTTTTCTTTATAGAAATTATTAAATTTCGATTATGTTGTCTTTACAAATTTTATAAAAACATTTTATTCTAATTCAGCATGAAAAACTGAGTATAAAAAAATATTATTTGATTAGATTTAGGGGTAATAAGCTTAAAAAAGTGCTGTGCAATATAGATAGCTCCAACATTCTTCATAGTACCTATTCGTGAGTATTGTTGTAAATCCTTGTCAAAATATACTGCAGCTCGATATTTTTGTAAATATCTCGAGAATGAAAGTAGCTAGAAATCTGCGATTTTCAGCATTCAAAAAAGAACTGTAAGGATAATGGAACTTTGATGAATTATCTGAATTGTATATTGTTCAAGCTGGTGAGCTTCTCCTTTTGTAGATTCTGACTAGAAGTTTTCGAATAAAACTTTCTCAACTAACAATGAATTCCACTCTAGGAAATTGATAACGAACATATTTTTCTATCAATCTGCGCAATGCTACGATCCTTCTAGCTTATTTCATTCAGTAGTTATAAGCATTTTACTGGAAATCTTGAAATCTGCCAATTGACCACTAGTCATTCTAAACTGTATTGAGTTTGGTGAATTCATCTACGTTAAGTCCTATGATGGTATTTATTTTTAGTTTTCAACCGATCTGATGTTGGAAAAACAAGTTCTTGAAAATGCCTCATTTAACGTTAAAAGCTTTCTATAAGTTGAATTACCAAAGTCAAGAGCTACGGTAATGTTGAAATTAAAAATAAATATCATCGTTGGACTCATCAGCGTAGACAAATACATTGAACTCAACACAATTTAGAATAATCAGTGGTCAATTGTCCAATTTCGAGACATCTAGTAAAACACGTACAATTTCTAAATGAAATAAGCTAAAAAGTCCGCATTATGTAGATTGACAGAGAAATATTTTCGTTATCGATTCCTTAGATTGGAATTCATTATTAGTTGAGAAAGTTTTATTCGAAAACTTCTAGTCAGAATCTACAAAAAGAGAAGCTCACCAGCTTGAACAATATACAATTCAGATAATTCATCAAAGTTCCATTGTCCTTACAGTTCTTTTTCAAATGCTGAAAATCGCAGGTTTCTAGCTACTTTCATTCTCGAGATAATCACAAAAATATCGAGGTGCAGCATATTTTAACGTGAATGTACAACAATACTCACGAATAGGTGCTGTGAGGAATGTTGGAGTTATCTATATTGGACAGCATTTTTTATACTCAGTTTTTTATGTTGAATTAGAATAAAATATTTTGATAAAGTTTGACAAAACAATTACTAGATTAATCATATAATAATAAAAGAGAAAAACAAAATTCATTACTCGAATTTTGAATAAGTAATACTTTACATTTTTAAATAAAAATAAAATCTTATTTTATTTCTATTAGAGCTTCCTAATTCTTCATCATTTCATTATACAAATCGTTGTTCATATAAATTATTTCAATCATTATTAAATTCATCTCAAGTTAATCTAATCGAACGTTTACTTGATCAATATGAATTAAATATTGCATCGAGTAAATCAATATTAACAAGTTCATCATCTGATGATGCTATCACATCTTCTTTACTTCATACACGTTTTACATCACCAAATTCAGGTCATGTTGCTCAGATACTTCGTTGTTTACGTGAATATGCAACAATATTTGATAATTATTCAAAATTTTTAAAAAATAATGATCAACAACAAATTGATGAAAACACAAATATACTTGAAATACGTTGGGAAACAGCACTTGATTATCTTAATGAGGATGAAAAAAAATGTTCAGCTATGCATCATCATGAACAAAATAGTACAAATTGTTTTCGTTTAAATTCATCTGTAAATGCTATGACACATATCAATAATGTATTTAATTCAAATGATAGTAGTGAAGCAAATCAACGACGACAAACATTTCATAAGAGATCATTTGGTAGTAGTGGAGCACCTTATATTGATGATGACGACGATGATGATGTAAGTTTAATGAGAAACCAAAAAAAAAACAAACACAATGGAGTTTGACTTTATATTTCAAACTTTCACAAAATACTTTCGACTTGAAATCTTTTTAAAAATGAATTATAGTTATGCATATTTAAATGGTAGATTTTAGTTTTGCATTGGATATTTGGAAATTTTCATGCAACTAAAAATAATGACAAAAGAAAACTCATATTAGCTTATTTAATTGATAGAGTATTTTTCGTATCTATTTTCTATTATTTTTATCGAAGTATGATATATGTAGAAGTGTAGAATCTAGCGTTAAAACCAAAAAAATGTCCTAAACTTCAAAAACCTTTTTTGTATTGTAGCAATTATAAAGGTGATTAATCGTGTTTAAGTTGTGCAGAATCGACTATAAGAATAAATTTGAAATATCTTCATTGGATCCTATCAAACGGGCTGGTTTGTTTATTGTTGGCAGAGGCTTATTTAAAGTTTAGTGTCATATACATGTGGAGAGATCGATAGATAATTTTTCATTCCCATCTAACAAGACAATATTTCAAACTTGAAAATCACTTTTGAGTTCGAACTCTATGAATAAGGTAGATCCCAATGATGTATTAAAAATCCGAAAAGGATAGGAGTTCCTAGGCGTTTCCTATAGAGTTATAGTCGTCTGAATGAAATTTTAGCCGATCCTATAATATGTAGAAAAGAATCGAATGATGATATCTTAGCCTAAATTTTAGCCCATAGATAGACCTAGTTTTATCTAGAATGTCCAGCTCAAAAGAATGTTTCCTTCACAAGATATTGAATTTCCAGAAAAAGTCATGAGATTTTCGAATCTTTCGCAGTATATGAAGGATTTTTGGAAATTCAATATCTCGTGAAACAAACATTCTATTGACCTGAAATTTTCAGGGCATTCTAGATACAAGTAGGCCTCTCTCTCTGGGCAAAATTATAGGTTAAAATACCTTCATTCGATTCACTTCCACATATCATGCTATAGACTAAAATTTCAGTGTGACAGTCATAACTCTGTAGGGAGAAAGCCTAGACACTCTTATTCTGTTGAAGTTTTGAATATCTCATTGAAGTCTACCTAATGCACAGAGTCATAGTTCAAAACAATTTTCAAGTTAGGAAGGTTCTCTCGTTAGATGAGAATGAGAAATTATCTATCGATCTCTTTACATGTATTTTTCGTCGTTGACAACAGATTATACCATTTTAGTCTGATTAATAATGATATTTCAAAGTGATGTTTATTTTATTCGTATATAACACCAAACTTGAAATAAGTCTCTATCAACAATAAAAAAATCCAGCTTGTTGAATTAAATCACAGTGGAAGACTTTTTACTTTTTATCGTATAATTATTGATAATCTATTCTGTACATTCGAAGGAAACAAAAATAGTAAAGTAGTATTTAATACATTTAAAATTGTATAAAGTGAACATATTCTTTACTAATTATCCATAATAGAAATTGTTTTGCTTTGAACGAGTAATATACTAACAATTAAAAATACGAGAAGCAGCTGCTGTACTACTTAATATCGAAAAATAAATTATAGAAATTATATACAAAACTTTCTCTGTTTATCTTTCAAACGAAAAAAAAGTTTTTCTTTCTCATATTGTCAAAATTAACGAATTTTTCTAAAATTAAAAAAATTTATCTTTATATGCGTAGATACATGGAAATAGATTCTATAGTTCGGATTGTATGAAACTAATGATATTTGACTATTTAAATTATTCAGGAATTAAAACAAATTTTATTGACATTTTAAACTCTTGTAATGAATAAATATTAAACAAATTCAAGTATTTAGGACGAAGTCGAGCGATTTGATATTGATGATGAATTAATGAATAATGAGCAAACAGCAGGCGAACGAAAATTAGCTGAAATGAAAAAAGTAAAGATAAATTTAAAAAAAAATCAAATTGATTATTTCTATATCTTTTTTTTGTATTTTTTAATAATCTTTTATTAAATTAGGTTTCTTTTGAACCTCAATTTCCACCTGTATTTGATGAACAATCACTTTGGCATCAACAAGATGATACCGACATGATAAAAACTCATCATGATAATGAAGATAATGATAATATGAAAATGACATCAGCTCCTCCATTACCTGATCTATTTGAAAATTATCGAAAACAACAAGAAAAATCAGCATCATCCACAGAATCTAGTTTTGAACAGCTCTGTTCCTTACGAGCTAATGATCATGGTAGTGGTCCTAGTATTTTTCCATTCCAATCATCATCATCAACAGTTCGTGATGAGGTAGAAGAAGGACAAGATGAATATTGAAAATACATGCAAAATATGGGTAATAAAGAGTATACGCGTACAATTTGTCCGCTGTCGCCTACCGTCCCTAATGATTCAATTGACTTGTTTCTTTTCTATGTATATTGAGAGATTTAGTATTCGTTTTCTTGTTCGATCTTTACTTTGATATGTTATCAAATAGGAAAAACCTATTATTATCACGTGTTTTATGTTCATATTATTTTTTTCTCTTGTCAAAAATGTGTATAATCTCTTGTATTAAGATGTGTGTCTGTATGTATGTCTTTGTTTTGTTTGTCTGTCATGATGGCTGTATAGAAAAAATGATCGGGTTTTTTTTTGGTTTGTTTTTCGATCAGTATACTATTGAATAAAAGAGAAATGGAAAGCAAAAGCTAGTTTGTATGTGTGTATGTAGAAAAAGTATATTGACAGCAGCAGGTGATTTATTTTAATACAAATGAAAGGCAATAATTGTGTTTGCAATAAAATTCGAATACAAATCACAATAGTGTTTACAATAAGTTATCATGCTTCTTATTGTTAGCATCTAAATACACACTATTGAATAATGATCTATTTTGACAGCAATATCCTATTTATTTAGTGAATACAAATAAAAATCATCATTTATATCAACTGTTGACAAAGGACAATAAGGGGTATTTTTCTTCTTAAAAATTTTTTTTGGAAAGAAACTATATAGCGATGGTAAATTGCTCATAGGCTACAACACAGACATATTTATTCACCTTAGTTCCACATCAAAACCGTTTACACTTGTGTACACCCCATAGTACACTTGGAAAGATTTTTTTTGTCAAATGCATGTCATTATATTGGGTCAATAGTGCTAATCACGAATATCAGTATGGTTTTTGTACAAAATCTAATAATAACACTCTAAAAAAAAATCGGTTTATTACCGAATTCTACAAGTTTCACATTTGGATACGAAATTGTTTTAGTTTTCGTAAAATGAAAATCGTTTTGTAGAAAATCTTTGATAGTTCCGTCATGATAAAAAAAGTTTCGTATTTTTTCTAGAAAACCTACTGTATGTGGTTGATACAGTGAAAGATTCCGTAGTTGTCTTATGAAACTCTTCACGGTTCTGTAGAATGTAAGATAGTATTGTATTTTTCTTCCCGAACTATTTTTGTACTCTGAGAAAAGGAAAAGAATCTGTATATTTTCTACAAAATTTGTCATGTGAGCGATTTTTCTCAAAGACTTTTCCGAACCTTGCTCTGTGTGATCAGCAAGCGAAAGCTTTTATACAAAACCATTAATATCAGTCGCATGTCATAAGGTTTCATGTAAACCAATTCGTTTGCGCAACATATGACAATGGTTTCTGATTCGTTACAATCATCCAATATTACATGATTAGAATGATGCGTTCGTTTATCTCTCACTATCACTAACCATTTCAATCTATAAGAGTCAATAGGATTGGAAGTTATTAGACTTGATTTACTACTATAAAAACATTAGGTACAGAGAGTTGCTACTTTTATCTCTATTTCTCATCCTACTTTGTTCGCTTATATAATACACAACTAGACACTACTTTCTCATGTTAATCTTATGAAGAATGAGAGTCAAGTTGAGTGTATACATATCCGTGTATAGTTATAAGAGTATAGGTTCCAGAGCATAGGTACAAGGGTACACAGGTAACGATATAGATATAAAAATACAAGTAAAGGGATATAAGTGTGATGGAATATGTTTAAGGAAATAGTTATGAAGGTATACATCTTAGAGTATAGATCTAAGTATAGAGGGATAAGAACATAGTCCAAAGGATACACTTATAAGAGGTTAAATATAAGAATAAGAGTTTAGGCATAGAAAAAAGGCATAGACACTTAGGTATAGAAATAAGAGATTAAGTATAGTTATAAGAATTTCGGTATAGCAATAAGGGTACAGGTATAGAAGTAAGGGATTAGATATCAGTATAAGAAGTTACACATAGTTATAAGGGTTAAGTGTAGAAATAAGGGTTTAAATGTAGAAATAAAGGTGTATGGGTAAATAGATAAGGCTAATTGTATTCATGTAGCGGTCACTACGAAACTCTTCGCGCGAAAGCTTATTTTAGATTTGGTAAAAAGGTTTTTATGGCAAATCTCTCCTACGAAACCAAGAAAAAGGTTCTGCCTGTGTATCTGCGGGAAGAACCTTTTTTGGTTTCGTAAAAAACTTTTTTGTTTAGAGTGTGGGCGTGATATTTTTTTCAAAAGTTCAATTTGAAATGAAAATCTCTATAGACTCACTAATTATTGATAACCAATAAATCTTAACCCGTTTTGTCAACTTACTGTATGCTATTGTATTAGGTACATTAACTAATGTTAGTAAATGTAAACTAAATAAGTAATATCTTATATGGAATGAATGGATAAAATCTCGTATCTAAATATATAGCATCCGAGGAAACATAAGAATTCTTCACATTCTTGTTCAATTAGAATATACTTATTCGATAATATTTCTTGTGATATTATATAGTGATATTGGTAAAATTTTGAAGAAATAAATAGTACAGAATAAAGAAAGATTACTGTATTCTACTGTTATATCCTAATTGGTAATGATATGATCTATGTTTCATGGTCATAAGATAACTATCTTGACCTTGTATCTTTGACTACAATTAATATACCACAATTATCATAGATTTTATCAATATGAAATAAATTCTTTTAATAAATGAAGTAGTTTTATTTTATTCGTTGAATTTATTTTCAACTAAGTCGTATCAGATAAAAAAAAAGACACTTACAAAAACACACAATGGTGAAAATCTTATAGGATAATACGGATTGCGGTCTCATCAAATAACCAGTATTTAATTGTTTTTTTTTTACATAGAAATAATTGAAATTAGAATACTTGTTATCAAAAGCCAAGTATGTGAAATAATAGATTGCCCATTATTATACCAATAATTACTACCGGATGCATACCATCCTGGACTTCCTGGTGGATAGCGATTGTACGGTCGATGAAAATAATTGTTAATATTTGGCCTTTGCAATGCATTATAATTATTGCTGTATAAATTGTATTGTTGCTGTTGTAGCTGTTGGTTCCAATTTGGAATTAGACCGCTGTTCGGAGAATATCCTTGACTATAACTTATTGCACTGATGCTACTGTCAGCATCATTAATGTTTGGTCCAAGGTCACCATAATTCGGATTGATTCCAGTACCTATAGTTACACGAAAAAAAATGTGCGCAAAATATATTCTTTGGTAAAAATTATCCTCACCATAGTAAGCGCCCGGGATAGCACCACTTGGATTGTCCGATCCTCCAGTCCATCCTCCATAAGGAAGGTCATCTCTTGGAACCTGCATGTATTGACGACGATAACGTTTATAAGGTATTGCATCTACTAGAAACGCCAATACTCATGTTTTTTTTAGACTTTTTTCTTTTATTTGTTACTCACTCATTGTATAGAAAAATAAATTAACAAGAAAAAACAGATATACATAAGAAACCATTTTATGCATTTATACGTTTATGAACATGTAAGTCAAGAAGTTAATTCTTTTCTTCTATATTGTACCAATAACGATAGAGATAGAATATGACAAATTCTATAATAAGACTTCCTTGTTCGCTTTTTTTTCCTCTTATTATACATGATTTTTTTGTATGTACAGCTTCATTCTGTTAGAAGTGTTCTTGACAACAGTGTCATTGTACAACATTCATAGTTGACAAGAAAAAAATAACAGAAAAAGACAAAAAAAAAGTATTGTACAGTTACATCACGAACGTTTTGTCAATGTACATCGAGGAAGAGAACATGTCATGTACTTACTGAACATAAATTTTTGTGTGTCATTTTCTATCGTAATGATTGATGGACGACAATGAATCATTGTACAGGCGAATAGAAAATTTATTGAAAATAGTAACAACACTAATATCTGTTATACTTGTTTAATTTTGTCCTGATTGAAAAATACAAATAAATTGATAAACTTTTTGTTCTCTTATAGTTGACTATTATTCGATTGTAACTTTAAAAAATCGATAGAAAAGCAATCTTAACTAGAGGATTTATTCAATTCATCAACTATTAGGAGTTAGAATCAGCATCAAATTCTGAACAAAACTATATATTTTTTTTTGGAAAAAAATCAGCTTTTTTCGAACAATATTTTTTGCCGTGGTACCCTCAGGAAATAAAAAAATGTTGTTTTTGTTTCTTGCTCTAATTTGATCTAGATATAGGTTATCGGCCACGCTGATCACGAATATCAGATTTATTTTACATAAAAATGTGATTTAAATGAAAAACCTACTTCTACTGATTCCGGTCATTTTTTAACCTTAGTCCAGAAATCACTGTCCTCCAATTGTAAAAATCAGTTTATAATAGCAATAATACTTTATGTATATATATATATATCCAGAAATGATTGTTCCATCAATTCTAGATAGATTGAAGGCTTAACAAATATATAGTTTACAGTTTATTTGTCTAAAAACTGAAGAAAGCTGGAAAAAAGACATATATTGTTCGAAATGTAGGCCGAATTTTTCCGTAACAAGCTTTTAATCCAATGAGTTAAATATATATATAGATCGACGTAGTTTTTCATGCTCTATCTAAATATGACCTTATAGATTTTAAAAAAATTGCAGAAAGTAGCGACAATTGGGAAAAAACTGGTAAAATTCGGTCTACATTTTGAACAATATATGCCTTTGTTCATATTTTTTTTCCAATTTTTAACCATATAAACTGAAGTTATATACTTGTTAGACTATGAATCTGTCTAAAATTCATAGAATAATTGTTTTTACATATATATAAGATATTACTGGTATTGTAAACTTATTTTTGCGGTCGGAGGACAGTATACTCTCTGAAATCAAATTGAACAATGAGCTTTCTCAGAAATGACAGTTTTTTCATTTAAATAATATTTTTTTATACAGAACAACCTTCATATTCATGATCAGCATGATCGATAACCTACCTCTAGATAAAACTGAGATAAAAAGAAATTTTTTTTATCCCCTAGGGAACCAAGGCGAAATTATTTTTTTGTTTTTTTTCCAAAACAAATATATAGTTCTGTTCAGAATTTAATACTGATTATAACTGTATATTTTTTTCTATAAACTATTTTAGGCGAAAAAATGGCCTTATCAGCACTTGTCCTTTTGACTATCATGGCCAGTGTTTCTAATGGAAATCTAAAATAAAATGTACAGTACACGCTGTTTTAAATGAGCACTGTGTACATTTGCATTTGTTTTCATTAGCAAAGTGTACAAAATGTACGGTGCTTACGCTGCATATTATAAGAAGAAAATGGGAAAAACATTTTCAAATCTGTTTTACCCAGTAAAAAATAGAGAATAATAATAGATACGTAAATAGAAAGCAAGGAAAAAGCAATCTGTGTGTGATTCATTTAGGACGATTCACTGCACGAAAGTATAGCATTATGAAAGCACATCAGCATAAGAACCTTGATTTATTATTTTTCAAAATCCTAAATAACCAGAAAAATTATCAAAGTTGTCATGATCCTCTTCATCATCATGAAAACTGGTATGATTTGAAGAAAACTAAGCTGAATATTGCAATTTTTGATTTTTTTTCTGCAGCTATCACATCAGTATCGGGAACGAGTCAATATAAATCTGAAAAGAAAAAAAATTACGAAGAGAAAGGATGTCAGCCAATGAATAGAAAAAATTAAAAATAGACCAGAATCGAATCATCGTTTACATATAATTTTTGAGATAAAAAATTCATTTAAAATCTCATTTGCAAAGTGTACAATGTACACTCTGCTTTTTAAGACAAGTGTACAGCAGCGTGTATTTTCAAACATGCAAATGTTTGTACATTTTGCTTCTGCTGTGTACACTTGCCATTAGAAACCCTGATCATGGCTGATATTGAGCATAGAAATGAGCGAATAGAATTCATTCATTCTTCTCAGTATATAATTATGCGAAAATGTAGAATATTGAAAAAAATGCGATTTTCAATTGTTTAAATCTTAAAAGAATAAAAGTTGGAAATTATTCTTTCTTCAGTTGTGGATGTTAATCGACGATTTCGTCGATTAGTCCTCGATTCTCTTTATATTCGTGACCTCAATTTGAGTTCTATCATGAACAACAATTTACATAAATTTTCTTCATTAAATACTCAAGCTCTTTCAATAGTTTGTTCGAATATCTTACCTCGAATTCATGATCAAGTACATAAACTCACTGTTGAACAAAATTCAATGAAACGAATTCTTCTTGTTGCCAATTATCCATCGATGTGAAGCTAGCCCGATGACCAATCAAGGATGACCTTTCCATCAACCAATCAGATATCAAGCATTCTTAACCATGCATAGTCCATAAAATACCTCATATTACCTCCTTAGCAACCAACTCCTTTTACCCACTAATCAATGAAAAGTTACTGCCTTTTCAAAACCAACAACCAAAAACTTTACAACAGACATCAAAAAAACTATTCCACAAAAAAAAAAAACTTCATTCATAAATCAATATGAATCAGCCACAGCACGACGAATTACCACGACGAATACACAGTGCCACAATTCCAAACTTATTTTCTCTCCTCAGGAATATCTCCCGAAGATGAGTTATACTTCATTTGATTCAGAATTTAATTCTGCATTCAATGATGTATAATTCAATGAAGGGACATATTTCGGAAGAGAGAACCATTCGTTCCGAATATCGGTACGATGCTAAAAAAATATGTCGTTGAGATATTTTAACGGCTATTTTCTCTCTTCAAAAATATGTCCCGTCCATCACTTATACATCATTTTATGCAGAATTTAATTCTGCATTCAATGATGTATAATTCATTGACGGGACATATTTTGGAAGAGAGAACCATTCGTTCCGACTATCGGTACGATGGAAAAAAAATATGCCGCTGAGATATTTCCACGGCTATTTTCTCTCTTCAAAAATATGTCCCGTCCATCATTTATACATCATTTTATGCAGAATTCAATTCTGTATTCAATGATGTATAATTCATTGACGGGACATATTTCGGAAGAGAGAACCATTCGTTCCGAATATCGGTACGATGGAAGAAAAATATGCCGTTGAGATATTTCAACGGCTATTTTCCCTCTTCAAAAATATGTCCCGTCCATCATTTATACATCATTTTATGCAGAATTTAATTCTGCATTCAATGATGTATAATTCAATGACAGGACATATTTCGGAAGAGAGAACCATTCGTTCCCAATATCGGTACGATGCTAAAAAAATATGCCGTTAAGATATTTCAACGGCTATTTTCTCTCTTCAAAAATATGTCCCGTCCATCATTTATACATCATTTTATGCAGAATTTAATTCTGTATTCAATGATGTATAATTCAATGACGGGACATATTTTGGAAGAGAGAACCGTTCGTTCCGACTATCGGTACGATGGAAAAAAAATATACCGTTGAGATATTTCAACGGCTATTTTCTCTCTT